CACCCTCAGCCTAAAAATCAGTTTTTCATGTTTTCCAATGGGAAGATGAAGGATGTCATTGATTTGACCAGACACAATTTCCGATAACTGCACTAAATGATATTCGTTTTCTTTCTTCTTCTGGCCCATTTAAAGGGGGCAAAATTTGCTCAAAGAAATGTCTATTTCCATTTGCCATGCAGATGAAGCATCTTCCCCGGACGAAACATACGAACATTTCCTTATGTCTTCAGCCATGGGGGCCTGTAGTATGTCCTTTTCATTAAGTCGTTGTTGCCGATGATGTTTGGCCATGTTATGGTCAAGAGAGCTTTGTTGACGACGGTGACATCTGATGTGGTAAGAATCGGTTCTCATCCAAATGGGAAAGCGCGTGCGTTTTCATTTGCAACCCCCCCCCCCACACACACACACACACTTTTTTTTTTTAAATTCTACGCATCTCCGTGAAGGTGGGTGCTCAACGTTTATAGTTTAGAAACCAAAATAATATGGGAAAGGCCGTGCGTTTTCATTTTCCACCCCCCCCCCCCACACACACACACACACTTTTTTTTTTTAAATTCTACGCATCTCCGTGAAGGTGGGTGCTCAACGTTTATAGTTTAGAAACCAAAATAAAATATATATTTAAAGGTTTGAGAGCTGCATGCGGTCGGCATTAACAAAAATGTCAACCACGAATTTCGAAGCGTGTTAACGATTCACAATGTCAATCAGCGACTAAAACGCGTAGAAATTCTGTTTGAAATGTTTCAGGATCGTGAGTCACTGGCCCCCCACACCTTTTTGCCACTTTGCGTCTATGGGGGTGGGGTCGGGGGGGGGCTGTTACTGCGAGGTTTCTTTCATCCAGCGGTTCTCAACCTATGGGTCGCGACCCCTTTGGGGGTCGCGGGACCCTTTTCCAGGGGTCGCCTAAGACCATCTGAAAACATATATCCTTACAGCTATGAAGTAGCAACGAAAATAATTGTGTGGCCCGGGGGTGGGGGGTCGCCATGACACGAGAAACTGTATTAAAGGGTCGCGGCACAAGAAAGGTTGAGAACCACTGCTTTAATCAAATCCACTGCAAATTATTTCTGGCTTGCCGAAAGCTACACACCTGAAATGTTGTTCCACAGCTTGATCCCCAGGAGGATCTGTCAACGTGTATTACTACAATTAACATTTCCCCCAAAAAATATTTTTTTTTGTATTTTGGGCATCCGTCCGTCACAGTGTGACGATGGTGTAGACTTCGCCAGGACGAAATTACAAGGTTTATAAATTTTTAGGAGATAAGCTGGTTTTCTAGGCAGCAAATCGCCTCACTCCAAGCGCCTGGATAACCCATGGGAACATCATATGTGGATGATACAGTTTGGATAACGCATGGGAACATCATATGTGGATGATACAGTTTGGATAACCCATGGGAACATCATATGTGGATGATACAGTTTGGATAACCCATGGGAACATCATATGTGGATGATACAGTTTGGATAACCCATGGGAACATCATATGTGGATGATACAGCTTGGCACCAGAAGCGTCGCAGGGGTTGTCGGAATTTTCTTCAATTTTTATCAAATGTTGCCTCCCCGAATAATGTGAACCTGAAAAAGTAATGCACTGGGTATGTTTTACTTCTAGTGACAAATGGGACCGAAAATGTTTAAGATGGCCTTATGAATATTCAATGCATTACTTTGCCCCAGGTCCCCCGATGATGTTAAGACTGTCCTGGAAATACACAGTGCATGACGTTGCCAGGGTCCCTCGATGATGTTGAGACGGCCCTGGAAATACTACTGTAACCACCAACGAAATCACGCATAGTTTAAAGAGAGAGAGAGTAACATTCATGGTAGATCAGTGGCAAACCTAGGGCTGGTGAGAGGGGGGACGACCTCACCGTGCGGTACTATAGTTGGTTTTATATCTTTAACATCAAATACAATAAATGGTGTGACTGTGTGCTTGGGTGCGCACTTTTAAGTGGAATTTAGCCAAGGATTACGCGACTGTTCTCGACGTCCCATTGGTTGGTGAAACGCGCTGCTCTGAAAATACACGAGTATTAATTTTTTTTTATACTATATTACGAGCTTCATAAATGCGTGCGACTGGAAGAGATGGAGGTCAGAGTCCATCAACTCTGTAACCATTTAGGACAGTGGTCGGCAAACTCATTAGTCAACGACTGAAATTTCTTTGAGAGCAAAACGTCTTTACAAGAACATGTCAATAACCGTGTTTTTCAGAGTCAAACCCGATTTATGGCCGACTGGCCGAGCCGCACTCAGATCGCTGGAGAGCCGCACTCAGATCGCTGAAGAGCCGCACTCAGATCGCTGGAGAGCCGCACTCAGATCGCTGAAGAGCCGCACTCAGATCGCTGAAGAGCCGCACTCAGATCGCTGAAGAGCCGCACTCAGATCGCTGAAGAGCCGCACTCAGATCGCTGAAGAGCCGCACGTGGCTCGCGAGCCAAGATTTTCCGACCACTGAATTTGGAACTCCAACCGACAGATTCAATTTCCCTGCGATTTCTATTTACTCTCCCAAGCTTGAACATATGCAACAAACTTCGTGACACTTGACTGTATGAGTGCAATCACTGAGCACGTCATATGACTGTATGCGGGCAATCACTGAACACGTCACGTGACTGTATGAGGGCAATCATTGAACACGTCACATGACTGTATGAGGGCAATAACTGAACACGTCACGTGACTGTATGTGGGCAATCACTGAACACGTCATGTGACTGTATGTGGGCAATCACTGAACACGTCATGTGACTGTATGAGGGCAATCACTGAACACATCATGTGACTGTATGAGGGCAATCACTGAACACGTCACATGACTGTATGAGGGCAATCACTGAGCACGTCACGTGACTGTATGAGGGCGATCACTGAACACGTCACGGTGCTGTATGAGGGTAATCACTGAACACGTCATGTGACTGTATGAGGGTAATCACTGAACACGTCATGTGACTGTATGAGGGCAATCACTGAGCACGTCATGTGACTGTATGTGGGCAATCACTGAGCACGTCACGTGCCTGTATGAGGGCAATCACTGAACACGTCATGTGACTGTATGAGGGCAATCACTGAGCACGTCATGTGACTGTATGAGGGCGATCACTGAACACGTCACGGTGCTGTATGAGGGCAATCACTGAACACGTCATGTGACTGTATGAGGGCAATCACTGAACACGTCATGTGACTGTATGAGGGCAATCACTGAGCACGTCATGTGACTGTATGTGGGCAATCACTGAGCACGTCACGTGCCTGTATGAGGGCAATCACTGAGCACGTCACGTGACTGTATGAGGGCAATCACTGAGCACGTCACGTGACTGTATGAGGGCAATAACTGAACACGTCACGGTGCTGTATGAGGGTAATCACTGAACACGTTATGTGACTGTATGAGGGCAATCATTGAACACGTCACGTGACTGCATGAGGGCAATAACTGAACACATCATGTGACTGTACGAGGGCAATCATTGAACACGTCACGTGACTGTATGAGGGCAATAACTGAACACGTCACGTGACTGTATGAGGGCAATCACTGAACACATCATGTGACTGTATGAGGGCAATCACTGAACACGTCACATGACTGTATGAGGGCAATCACTGAACACGTCATGTGACTGTATGCGGGCAATCACTGAACACGTCACGTGACTGTATGAGGGCAATCACTGAACACGTCATGTGACTGTATGAGGGCAATCACTGAACACGTCACGTTGAGGGCAATAACTGAACACATCATGTGACTGTACGAGGGCAATCATTGAACACGTCACGTGACTGTATGAGGGCAATCACTGAACACGTCACGTGACTGTATGAGGGCAATCACTGAACACGTCATGTGACTGTATGAGGGCAATCACTGAACACGTCACGTGACTGTATGAGGGCAATCACTGAACACGTCATGTGACTGTATGCGGGCAATCACTGAACACGTCACGTGACTGTATGAGGGCAATCACTGAACACGTCATGTGACTGTATGAGGGCAATCACTAACCACGTCATGTGACTGCATGAGGGCAATCACTTAACACGTCACGTGACTGCATGAGGGCAATCATTGAACATGTCACGGGACTGTATGAAGGCAATCACTGAACACGTCACGTGACTATATGAGGGCAATCACTAAACACGTCATGTGACTGTATGAGGGCAATCACTGAACACGTCACGTGACTGTATGAGGGCAATCACTGAACACGTCACGTGACTGTATGAGGGCAATCACTGAACACGTCATGTGACTGTATGAGGGCAATCACTGAATTACGTGTCCTTCTTAATTAATAAACGTCATTGAAGGTTACTGTGCTGTGCATGTTTTTGTGAAATTACTGTATGATTGTGAGCAGTCTTTGGGGACAACCTATTCTTTGCAAGATACTGAACAGGCCTCTCAGACTTACCAAGTCGAATGCCTTTGTCAGATCTATAAAAGCAATATAAAGAGGCATATGCTGTTCACAACACTTCTCTTGGATTTGGCGCAACGAGAATATCATGTCTATAGTTGAGCGCCCACTCCGGAAGCCACACTGGGACTCTGTGTAGATGCAGTTAACCAGACGCTGCAATCGTTTAAGGGTAAAACGGGCAAAAGTCTTTCCAACCAAGCCAAGGAGAGATATTCCTCGGTAGCTATTGCAATCACTCCTTTATTTTTGTACAATGTTACGATGTTGGCGTCTCTCATGTCCTGTGGAATGAGACTTGTTTCTCAACACAGACCGAGGCGCTCATGTACGGGCTGAAGTAGTATTGTTTTTCCCTTTTGAGGACTTCTGGAGGAATGCCGTCAATCCCCGGTGCCTTCCCATCAGCAAGGTTATCAATTACTTTTAAGGTAATAATGGATATGTTAATAGTATGCTATTTAAATTGGAAAAGACCGATATTATAATAGGAATACTAATATCGAGAAGTCACGCGAGACTCATATGACACGGACAAAATGGCGACCTCCGACGACTCACTGGAGATACTTCTAAGTACGATATATTGTGTGTGTCACGATCATTTCAATGCCATTACACACAATATATATTGAAAACTGATGCTATTCAAATATGCTTTGCACTTCAGCTGCTTTATTTTTACATACCTAGAGAACATTTTTATTAAAATGTTTACATATGAATTAATCTGAGACACTATGACTATAACTGATAACTCTATACTAAATTGACTAAATACTACTATACTGAGATTATACTAATTTACTATAAAATATAACTATCTAATCTTGTTTTTCCCAATGGGGGTCCACGCCCCACAGGGGAAAAATTCGATTGCTTTGGGGGACAATTGGAAAATGAGCTGTCTAGAATTTGAAAACTGTCTACTATGATTTATCTGGTATTTTGAAAAACAAAGTGTCTACATGTCCGGCGACCGGTTGAATAAGTTCTCGAGATATTCGTCCGGCGATCAGGTCACATGACCGCTGTAACAATGGTGGGCAAGACATCTGTCCGTCAGCCTTGTCACACGACCTCTAATAGTAATAGTCTTATCATAAAACTGGCGTCGGAGATGCATGGGGGCGACAAGACCGACAAGTATTATACACTTTATTTCAAGAAATAAGGTGGGGGGGAGCAATGCATACTAGAAGGAAGAAATACTGAGAGCGGTAGAGACAGGATAAAAATGATAGAGAGGGTGATAAATGATTAAGGCGGGGAGGTCCAAAGTTCACAAAGAAATAGACCCGACGTCTTAATATAGAATATAGAGCCAATATATAGTGTGCTGTTGGGGTAGCCTCCTTCTCACGCAATATTAATTGCCTAAAATAAAAGTTTGACAGTAGGTCTGTTGACTGGAAGGTATTGGTTATTTTCTTTGGTTCATATTTTAAACTTAGGCCTAGGCTACTAGGTGGAGCTTTATAAGATATTTAAACCAAGATAACAGCCTTTTTTAAATTTTATTTTGCCGACGACCTCTTTTCACATGACATGTCTGCCGGAATAATAATACATACTAGTCGTCCGGCGGTCACGTAACATGTCCACTGGAAGACTATCTACCGCACTATTTGTCCTGAAACACTGATCTAATCTCTATTTCAGTCCTGAGTTCATGGCTCACAACTTTCACATTTATGTTTAACTTTCAAATTTTAATGCTAACTAAAAGCCCTAGTGATAGATTTAATGAGAAGGCTCGTTTGAGTTCTGAATAGGTCTACTCAATCTTAATTTATATTGAAATTGTTAATTGTTAATTTTTTTTGACCAGGCAGTTACCAAACAATGGCTTTAACAATGCAGCTCAAAGACACAACTCAATAATGAATGTTCGGGCTTCTTTGGCCTACTCTCTTCAAATTTTCTTCTTCCAAATCTCAAATAAATTTACAAAATAAATTTGGATAAATGATAATAGGGAAATGCAAGCAAAAGAAACAAATTTAGAGATGTGTTTATGAAAATCACTTTCATTACTGTCTCAAGCTGAGCGGTCACTATTATGTTAATTCTGCAGGTATGACAAATGTTACAATTTAGAAGAAATTTTTTCTCCATTTCGATAAGCGCATCGAATCAATGGGACCAAAGTATGGCAATGAAGTGGCTTGAAATATCTATAATAATCAAAATTGGCAATCACTGACCGAGTCCAAAGCAATATATTTTTAAAGAAGTTTTGGTTCTAGAGTAGGGGTTTCAAACTCAAATTATCCAGGGGCCGCAGGAGGTAGAATCTGAGTGAGAATGGGCCGCATCAAGTATTCCATAAAAAAGCAATTACAAATTCAATAAAGTAGAAACCACTGTTACTGTCTGCTCAAACTTTATTTATACAAAAATAAAAACATTAAGGGTTTTCAAGAACTATAGGCTTCAATTACTTCCTCCTACTCCTTGTTGCTAGTGATCTGGCAGCACTTCTTCTTACACAGCTGAGAAACATTTGGCTATTGTAGGGAGGATGAATTTTGATTTTTTTATCATAGAAAAGTCCTTTTTGACTAACCCTGTTTTGAAAGGGAGCAATCTGACAGGCTTGGAATTTCCCTCATTCATCACTCATACACACTAGCGGCAATTTTAATAGGGATTTTTTGATACTGTGTCAAATTGCAACAATTTACACAAATATGGCTGTGCATTACCCAGCGACTGACTTTTTCAACTTTTAATGTATATAAAATATTCATAGCATATTTTCTCAAAACGGTACTTTAGCCATGTTTGTCTCATAAAATAAATAATAAATTTTTAGTCTGATTTTAAAACTGTTTTTACCATTATAATCAACATCCAAGCCTATACAAACATAATAAAAATCAGAATTAGACTAGTCAGTGAAATTCGAATGAAACTGTCGCAGAAGGTCACAATATAGATATAAGAATGGGAGAACGCAAAATATCGTCTTGTGGGCACAAATGGCCAGTGGGCCACAAGTTTGAGACCCTGTTCTAGAGACTTGATGAATTCTTAAAGATGAAGCCAACCAACCTTGTCCTTGTTTGTATAGTTATTTTTTTATTTGTATAATTCAAATTAAATAACTCATGTCATGTGTTTTTCTGGAACTGACTCTAAGAGAGACAGCCCTTGCGATGCTTTTCATTTGACAGTGATTTCCCCTTGAAATGCATTCTTGAACACAAATTTCTTATTAAGATGGATGACCCTTGGGACAGCATAACATTTTCCTTACCGGTATATGGAGTTGCTTACCTTAAAAAAAAAATTCCCAACAAATTGTTTCCCTTCAGTAAGGAATTAGTGTGCTTTTTAAGTCTGAATTATGAGTCTTGATTCATTAGCTGAAATCTGTAATATTCAATTTTGGGGGTGGGGGGTCAACTTTGACTGATAATAATGCGAGCATGAATTGAAAATAGTATTTCTGATTTCTGACTTGTTTATGAGTTTCTATTTTAATTGTAGAGTTGTATGTCTCATGTACTCTGGTTTTACCAAAAGACGAATAAAACCAAAAGACTTGGCCTAATACATTAATTTATATGTATATAATATGTATCTTTGGTCATTCAGTGAAGATTGTGTGCCTTCCATAATATAGTTATAATATGGGGAGACGGCAATCAAGTTTTTAAAGTGGAAATAAGTAACACGCTGTCAAATAAAGATTACACTGAACAATAAACTCATCAGAAAAAGCAAACAATATAACAGTAAAATTTATAGAATTTAGCATATAAGTTTGGAAATTGTGAATGGTTACAAGAAATTTAAATTGAAAAAGTATACTGGTATATTGTTCCTGTACACTTTTGTATAAAGGAGGTGATTTTTATCAATTTTGGGTCATGCCTATCAATAACCCTAACACCCTTGCAATATCTTTTTCTTGCCAATATTTTCAATTGGACTAACCCTAACACCCTTGCAATATCTTTTTCTTGCCAATATTTTCAATGTCCACTACTGGTACTCGAAATATATAAACAAAAGTTAATTAAAAAATCAAAATAGTCACAAGAATAAAATTAAATTTCATTTATCTATCAGACAGAGCGACAGATCCTTCAATGAAAGAAGAAGATTGGGATAGAATAACTGCTTTTTGTGACAAGGTTGTAATGGAACTAGAGGGACCACTTCTGTCTACAAGACTACTAGCCCATAAAATTCAGTCTCCACAAGAAAAAGAGGCTCTTTATGCTCTAACAGTAAATACAACTTTTGATCTGCCCACATCTATTAATTTTTTAAAATATAGTTGAGTTGCAGGCATCTTGTACATGAGACATTTGATTTACCAACATTCAATTTCATGACTATAACTTAAAAATAATTTTTCAAGGATTGGTAGGGAACCCATCATTATGTTATACTTTTTTTTTTAATGATAACTGCAATTATTTGTTTGGTCATTGACATTTTTTTCCAGACTCTGGAAGCTTGTGTCAAAAACTGTGGTAGATATTTCCATCAAGAAATCGGGAAGTTCAGGTTTCTCAATGAAATGATCAAAGTTGTGTCACCAAAGGTAATTTATTGAAAGAAATAAGGTTGTGTTGGAAAAAAGGTAATGAAATTCCAATGGTTATTTATTCTTGCAATTTTTTTTTGTTACATGGAGTTTTCAGGTCGGCTTCAACACTAGATCCACTGTTAACAATTATAATTTTAACATTATTTTATTAATGGTAAATGAGCATGTTTAAGCAATAACGCCCATATTTTTTTTTCAGTATCTGGGTAATCGCACTTCAGAAAAAGTAAAGAAAAGATGTATAGAAATTATCTATAGTTGGTATAAAGGCCTTACACATGAGCCAAAAATAGGAGAAGCATACAAAATGCTTAAAGCACAGGGAATAGTTAAAGAGGATCCAATTTATATGGATAAGGTTAGTGCTGATAATGAGCTTTGCTTTCAGTAATACTGCTAATGAGCTTTGTTTTAAGGAAACATATTAATGCTTTTAAAAGAAATCTGTGCACTAATTAGTCAGTATTAATAAAGAAGTTTTTAAAAATGTTGACATTTGCTCTAAATGTGCTTGATGCAAAGTCATTAATTAAAAAGTAAAAGTGACCAAACTGGCAGAATGGATACTAATTTCTTACCGCTGTTTGTGTTGTTCTTATTTTAAAATTTAGTTTATCTTGCTAGCGAAAAGGAAAATAAAATTATTTTCTTAGGTAGGTTACAAAAATAATTTAATTCCTATGTTTTTTAATCCTTAAGTAATGTTCAGATTAGCTGAAAATACTTAATCCTTTTTGTTAGTTCACATGATTAGATAAGCTTTATTACACTGTAACATAAAATGTTTCTTTTTTACCAGAGTTTTGATCCCTTCCCACCACCTAAACCGAGGAAAGCAGATTTCGAAGATGATGAAAAGGCAAAGGTAACTGTTCAGCCATTTTTCTTCATGTTTTAGAAAGTTGAATGTACTTGTTCGGCTTTATGCTGTCTGGATGCCATTGAATTTTAATGTGGAGAAACAATTTTTATTCACTAATCACAAGTCTTCAATTTAAAAAAACCCATTAAACTTATCACCTTTGACATCCTTAAGCCTGTCGGGACCCTTGAAATTGTGATGACTTCAATTTTTGTCTTGAACTTACACATGTTTTACTCCAACATCTACAAACACTTTTATGTAAATATTGCAACATTAGTAACAAATTCTAATTTCTCCCTAGTGATTAACTGGCATTTTGTGAAGTGTTTTCATATTTTTATTGTTTTCTTAAGTCAATTATCTATACTCTACTGTACATCAATTTTTCTTATTTGTGCCTGAAAACATCAATTCAATGATTGCAGACACTGGAGCGACTTCTGAGAAGTAAAAATCCTGAGGACTTGCAGGCAGCTAATAGACTAATTAAGAATATGGTGAAGGAGGTCTGTATTCAATTGTATCAGTAAGAAATTATTTACAGCATTAAAATCTAATAGGCAGTAGGCTGAAATAGTTTCATTTAGATATGTCTATTCATTGAATCTGTTTGAGTCAGGATTGAAAGCTTTTTGAACTCATTACTGCTAGCAATGCTGCTTAAATACTTAATTAATATTCCAGAGAAAGGGAACTCCATTTTGCTCTCGATTTACATTTGTAAAATATTTTGTTATGCTACTAAATATTAATTAATATATGAATTAAGGATAAATGCATCCAGAAATAAATTAGGTTTAATAAGAATATAACTTTAATGGCGAACAAATAATGATCATTGACCCAAAAAATCTATTTTTGGCACCTCAGATGAACACATGCTAGATGGAGTCGGGAACGAGTTCATATGAATGAAGAATAACAATTAAATACATCTTAACATACTCAAATATTTTCTTTATTATTATAACAATAAATTTAAAAGCTCAAAATTAAATTCTGCCTGTCACAAAATAGGACATGGAAAAAACTGAGAAGCGATCTCGTCGAATCAATGAACTAGAATCTGTACACAACCAAGTGAAACTCCTAACAGAAATGATCAGTGAATATTCAGCCAACACATCCTCTAAAGAAGAGATTGAAATGATGAAGGTGATTTCTTTTATTTCTCTGCTAAAAGAAGAGAGTATGCTTGTAAAAACACCCATTGTGTGTATTTTATATGGATGTTGGCGAACATTGTTTCATAAATATTTATCCTGCAAAAGTAATTTTATATTTTAAAAAGAAAACATCTATTTGATTGACATTTAAGGTTATGTAATTCATATTGACTGTTTAAAATCAGTATGATAATAAGACCAAAATTATAACACCATTTATACTTTCTGTCTGTAAGAAAGGTGTCTGGCATTGAAAAAAAATTTAATAAAATTTTGATGTTTTAGGATTGTTTTCTGTAATTTTTTTTTTTGTTACATTTTTGTGAATTTCAACTGATGCATCGAAGATAACAATAACAATGAAATTGTATGTTTCCAAAGGAATTGTATGATAACCTTGAAAAGCAAAGACCAAATTTATTTCGACTAGCAAGTGACACAGATGAAAATGACAATGACGGAATAAGTGAGTTGTCATAACTTAGCCTACACAGATTTTTCAAAGTGCTGGGAATTCTGGACAATACTTTTTATAAATTAGACTAAATTTAACTATAAGATGTCCTCAAAATATTTTGTGTCTTTTTTTTTTTTTTTTTAACTCTCATGTTTGCTTGATGCAGATGATATCCTCAAGGCTAATGATTCTGTAACGAGAGTTATGACTTTATATAAAGAGCATGTTGAAGGAGAAAAGCCTGCTGGAGATTACACTGCAGGGGCCAAAGGTTAGCAAATGATGTAAATCTCTTTTGTTCTCAGATCATTTCAATCATGTTTTATCTAAAAATAGATTTGCACTATTCTGTGATATTCTAATTATTATTAAAATATTTTTTGTTATGTTTTTTTACTTGTAAAAAAAAAAAAAAAAAATAACTTTTTTTTCTGACTTGGACTGTAACTGTGACATTGAATGTCAAAACGAGTGTCCGTTCTGACAGTTGATAGTTGAAATTGACCTTAATCAAATGTTTTTTCTCTGTTTTAACTTCAGATTCTTCATTATTGGATTTGGGTCTTGATTCCAGCTCTGCTAAATCTCACACTACCTCTGCTGTGGTCACACCATCTTCATCAGCAGCACTCTTGGAAAATGATTTTAACTCTTTAGGTGAAGAGCCCCCTCATTATTCTTTGACTCAATTGCCTCGATACAGTGGGCCCTTTTTTTTCCTTGTGTCACCTAAGCGGATAAAATTTACTTTTTATTGTTCATTGCTTGTTGTTATCAGTTATTGTGGCAACAACACATACAAAATTTTTTTAAAAGTCAATTTAACTTCCCTTGACTTGATTTTGAATTCCTGTTGTTAGTAATACACCCTTGGGAAACAAAAATGTCTAGGGTACTTCCAAAATGGGCTGCTTTGCTCCCATAAATAACCGTAATTAGCACTGTAACTGTCAAGTGCATTTTTCTTTAGTGTCGAGCCATTTTTAGCATTTTCATATGCTTGTCAAAAATGGCAAAAGAGGATAATAAATGAATTCAGAGACCCTTACAGGTATACATTTTCTGAAAGTACAATTGGACAAGGTATCTTATAGCATGAAAAGAATTTTTTATATTTTAATCTTGACCTTTACAGAGTTGATAAAAATTTTGCTACAAAACATCCGAATTCAACCTAACCTACAAAGCCATAAATTGTTCAAACTATCATAAAATCAATTTGTTTTTTTAATACTTTTAGAAAATGTCAAGTTATTGGTGCTTATTTTGAAAATTGTGATATTGGTGAATTTTTTTCATTCACTACTTGCAAATTTCTGTCAAACAAAATTCAAGGGGAAGGCATGAAATGAGTTCAAAAATTACTTTTCAAATGAAGTTATTAAATCCATTTTGTATTGATTAATACTCCAGAACATACACAAACATTAGTGTCTTTGTAAAATACGACTAAGCTTAAGGCTAAATGTGTCAACATCTGACTCTTATGTCACCATCACAGCTAGAGCTAATACTAACTCTGTCATTACTAGCACATGAGTTCATTGAACTCTCTGAATTCATTGCTTTCATTTTAATCCTTTTAAAATATCTCCATTAAAGAAAGTCAATGTTGATTTTGCAATTTAGAATGGGGGCCCTCTCCAGCATCAGACATTTTGCTGTTTAAAAGAATTGAGCAAATTTTACACCTGATCAATCTCACATAAAGCCTTGATAAAAGCATGTTAACACATGGATAGAGATGTAAATAGGAAGCAATGTCATTTATATAGAGTGATTTTTCCCCTTAATCAATATATTAAATCATTTCCATTTTTAATGACGACTGTGACAATATGGAAAGGGGTTTAACAGCCGATGATCTGCCGCTATGACAGTTATAGGGTTTAAAAAACTGAAGATTTTTGCTTTGATTGGTTTTTTTAATACTTTTTTTTTTGCCTTCAAAAATGTTTAAATCTAGAAAATATACATTATCAAAGTCTTTGATTAAATATTTAAGATCCAATGGAACATGATAGTCTATTTGGAGTAGGGCCATCTTAAAACTGCTGCCTATTAACTTTCCATTGTCCTTCTTTTATGCTCAGGTTTAGGTGACATGAATGATCTAGGCAGTATTTTCAGTGGAGTCTCACCCCAACAACAGGTATTTTAACACTGAGCTCCTAACTTATTGGGAATAATGGTTAAAAAAAACTGCTATTTATAATTTTAAATAATGAGCTCTGGAAAGAAAGGAATCTTTTTGCTTGTTTACATTTATATTGTTCTACCGAAATGAAATTTTCTACCCAATTTGATTTATTTGTATTAAAAATTACATCCAAACTTTGTTTTTTGGTTATTATTATTATATGAATATTATCTTCCAAATTTTCAATGAAAGAAAAAATTGTTTTTGTTTGTATGCAGAATTTAGTTACATAATTTATAGACCACAGGTGTATTTAGACAAAGGTGTATTTAGACACAGGTGTATTTAGACACAGGTGTATTTAGACACAGGTGTATTTAGACACATGTGTATTTAGACACAGATGTATTTAGTTAAAGATAAATATTTACAGCATAAAGTTGAATGAGAATTATTTGAAATAGCAGGTGTGATTTTTAAAAACTATTTTTTTTTTATTAAAGCCTGTTGTGCTAAACAGTTTATCTGGCCAACCCATGATGACACCAGCCCACATGGGTATGCATTCATCAATTCCTCATTTTGCTGCTCAGCCAGGATTTAGTTCACCCCAGTCAATGCTACAAGCATCAGGAATGTTTTCAGGTACTGGGTAGTTACCTCTGACCCTCTCATTCCCAGTAGTCACACTGGTCACAGCTACCTTTTAAAAAAATAATAAAGAGCACATCTTTTTAAATTAAGTTTGAATTAAAAACCTAGATGTTTTCTGAATACACTGCAATTTTGTGGTCCACAGCAGCCCCTCCAGCTTACAGCGCCATCTCACACAGCATACGACCAGCCACTGCCAGCCCATCAGAGCCTTCACTAAGTGTATTTAACAACCAGGCTGCTCCTAGAGTGCCATCAAACTCATCTTTAGCTGACCTAGATATTCTCAACCAATCTTTACAAGATTATAAACTCCATAAGGAAACTTTCCCAGTCAAAACGTAAGTGGCTTTATTTTTCTTTTCTTTGTGCCAAGTTTATTCCAGTTGCTGTAGCTGACCCAGAAACTCAAATATTTTGGGATTAAAAAACCAATTGTAATCCCACGCCAGGTTGGCTAACATTTTCCAACTTCTGCCGTCAGTGTTTTTTTTAAAATCAGGATTCACCTTCTCTCAAAGAATAACCGCCTTATTTACTCATAACTGTGAACGACCATGTGCATAACCTCTTGGTTCATAAAGACACCTTTGCACACCTACCTCCAAACTATTTGATAATGTAAAATGCGTGCAAAATATAATATAGTTGACGGAGTGAGGGAATCTAAGTAGACAGTCCTGGACATTTGTGTAATCTGAGTGAGGAAATCTAAGTAGTCAGTCCTGGACATTTGTGTAATCGGAGTGAGGAAATCTTAGTAGACAGTCATGGACATTTGTGTAATCGGAGTGAGGAAATCTAAGTAAACAGTCATGGACATTTGTGTAATCCGTTTGATACTTTGTTGACTCAGTCCTTTCACTAGTTTTTTGCAAGTTAACATTTAAATATTTAAAAATTCTATAAATTTTATTTTAAGTGGCTCTGTTTAGCCCTAAAGTGCACATTTATTATCTTTAAGTGGCTCTGTTAAGCTCTGAAGTAAACATTTAGCATCTTTCAGTGGCTCTGTTTAGCTCTCAAGTGCACATTTATCATTTGCCCTTTCCAGATCATAAAAGAATATTTTCAGTTATTAATTGTCAAATCTTTCCTGAAATTCTTCTAGAATTTTGTGTTAATAATTATGTGTATGATAATCATACCTTTATCTTCTAATAATAATAAATTGATTGTAATAAATGCTACATTCAGTATTTGCTACAAATTAACAAAAAGCTTTGACAGTAATCACACAATATATGATGCTTGCATGTATCACTTATCATATGATTAACTCTTTAACAGCCTGTAGCATGCCTCACACAATTTACTCAAACTGCTTGTAATATGTATCACAATTTATGCTGTTGTTCATTTTCAGAATGAACAAAATTGGCCAGTGAGTGCTTGTTTCTAATATTCCGTAGCATGTTGAATGAGACCTTATTTTTATTCTCTTCATTTAGCTGACCTGCAGCAACATCCCACATCTTGCCACTGCTTTTTTATTCTTAAATAGTATAATCTATTTACTTTTGATCATTGCTTTTGCCATTTTTCTCAGCTTTTTTGTAACCCTGATTAAGTGATCCCAAATTAAGATTACAATAAAACTGATGTGGTGATAAACATTTGTCCGTGTTCAAACAAAATCAAATGATAACATTCTGATCAAACCTTGTGCTGTGGGCTTGGTGTCGGTTAAAGCATGTCTGTTAGCATTTTGATCAAACTTTGGTAAAGGACTGTTATGGTTAAGTCGTGTTAACTTTTTTACTGGGTTGTTATGGGTTAAATCATATCATTCAGATCAAACTTTGGTGCTGTGTCTTTGCTATGGGTTGCATCATGTCTCATTTCATTTTTTCCTCTTGATTTGATATTTAAATTTGTCAGCAAACTGAAAGGTATTTAACTGCAGCAGCTTAGTTTGCCTTACTGATTATAGCTGCTAATCAAACAGAAAATCATGTTTACTGCTACTGCTGCTAATGGACTAACATTTATTTTGAAAGTTAAAAAAATATATTTTTTAATTGAATCTTGAAAAAAATTACACATGTTGAATTCCTATTATGAGAATAAGGTGAACTTCCTGCTACCTTCTTAACAATTGGTTTATATGTTGCCAGTAAATCATCACCTCTAAATAAAGTTTCATAGATATTTAATAATTCCTTGTCTTTATCAGTTCACCCTGTATCTAAGAAATGTTTTACTTTTCTCGCTGAATTGACAGGGCGCCCGCCAAACTGCCCATGAACCAGATCGCTGCCAACAAAGCTGCTGCATCGTCTTCAGCAACATCGACAACAACAACAGCAACAACAACCCCAATGATTCCGACCAGCTTTGGTGGTGGGCTGCCCCTACTCCAGCCACAGCCCGCAGTCCCGGGGACGACAACTCAGGTTTCAACTATCAGTAATGATTTCTCTCCTTTGGTTAGTGCTGAACCCGTGCCTGAGTTACTGCCCCTCACAGACATCTTTGTGCCACTGGAAAAGATACAGCCTGGTGAGTCAAAGATTTCATTCCTGATGTTTATTGAAGACTTTCACGCCATTGTATTGGTTTCCTGATGCATTTATTTCTGAATAGATGAGAATGTATCAATTTTAATTTTAAGTTCGTGTGCTGTTATTACATAATTTCATGCTTTACTGTTGCACATCATTTCATGCTTTATTGTTGCACATCATTTCATGCTTTACTGTTTACTGTTGCACATCATTTCATGCTTTACTGTTGCACATCATTTCATGTTTTACTGTTATATATCATTTCATGCTTTACTGTTACACATCATTTCATGCTTTACTGTTGCATATCATTTCATGCTTTACTGTTAGACATCATTTCATGCTTTACTGTTGCACATCATTTCATGCTTTACTGTTGCACATCATTTCATGCTTTACTGTTGCACATCATTTCATGCTTTACTGTTGCACATCATTTCATGCTTTTCTGTTAGACATCATTTTATGCTTTACTGTTGCACATCATTTCATGCTTTACTGTTAGACATCATTTCATGGTTTACTGTTAGACATCATTTCATGCTTTACTGTTGCACATCATTTCATGCTTTTCTGTTATATATCCTTTCATGCTTTACTGTTAGACATCATTTCATGCTTTACTGTTACACATTGTTTCATGCTTTACTGTTACCGGTACACATTGTTTCATGCTTAACTGTTGCACATCATTTACTGTTGCACATCATTTCATGCTTTACTGTTAGACATCATTTCTTGCTTTACTGTTATACATCATTTCATGCTTTACTGTTATACATCATTTCATGCTTTACTGTTATACTTCATTTCATGCTTATGTTTCACTTGTCTTCAAAGACATCATGAATATTTCAATTTGTTTTGGACAGCACCAAATATACCATCAGTGACAGCCTACGAGAAGAACAATCTAAAAGTTGTGGTTCATTTTGCCAGGGATCGACCTCGGTCAGATGTGGTCACCATGGTGGTGTCCACTTTATCAACAAACTCTGACCCCATCACAGGCTTTGTCTTTCAAGCGGCTGTCCCCAAGGTACTTCTGCTCTTATTGACTTCTGTCTTTCATTAAATCATGTTAAAATACTGACAAGTTGGTGTGGAAAAATTTAACGCATCAGTCCACCATCCATTGCTACAGGTATTAGCCTACTTGCTAGTTAGTTTTGACAAATTTAATGCATCAGTCCACCATCCATTGCTACAGGTATTAGCCTACTTGCTAGTAGGTTTTGACAAATTTAACGCATCAGTCCACCATCGGTTGCTGCAGGTATTAGCCTACTTGCTAGTTGGTGTGGAAAAATTTAAGGCATCAGTCCACCATCCGTTGCTGCAGGTTATTAGCCTACTTGCTAGTGGGTTTTGACAAATTTAATGCATCAGTCCACCATCCATTGCTACAGGTATTAGCCTACTTGCTAGTAGGTTTTGACAAATTTAACGCATCAGTCCACCATCTGTTGCTGCAGGTATTAGCCTACTTGCTAGTTGGTGTGGAAAAATTTAAGGCATCAGTCCACCATCCGTTGCTGCAGGTTATTAGCCTACTTGCTAGTGGGTTTTGACAAATTTAATGCATCAGTCCACCATCCATTGCTACAGGTATTAGCCTACTTGCTAGTTGGTTTTGACAAATTTAACGCATTATTCCACCATCCATTAATGCAACTGTGAGCCTACTTGCAAGTTTGTTAAGAAAAATAGAACACAAGAGTCCATCTTCCATTACTGCACCTGTGAGCCTACTGGCTAGTTAGTGTGTACAAATAGAACGCAAGAGTCCATCATCCATTACTGCTGCCATGTATGTATGTATGGCATTTTTCCGTCTGCGGGAGACGATAGATTATCTTTATTGCTTGCAGCTCTTGGTGTGGCTGGTGAGACCAATCCTCGAATGGCAGTCTCTGTTACATTTCCCACAAACGAATGCGGTGGAGCAGTATTTACCGGCCTTCCTCCTCGCTCTATTTGCAGCTGTTTCCACCCTGTTTTGCTCCTTGGCATGTAGTGATCCTGCCTTCACGATGCCCCGCCATGAGGATCGATCCTCTGCCAGCTCCTCCCAGTTTGAGATGTCGATGTTGGCCGACTTCATGTCTCTTTTGCATATGTCTAAGTATCTCAGACGAGGCCGTCCAACTGACCTTTTCCCTGTCGCCAGCTCGCTGTATAGCACGTCCTTTGGTATGCGACCAGGTTGCATTTATGCTTGATGTGTCCAAGCCAGCGGAGGCGTCTTTGGATTAACATGGCTGGGAGGCTACACATGTTTGTTTGGGACAAGACATCCGTGTTGGGGACTTTGTCTTGCCATTTAATGTCCAGGATGTGGTGCAGGCATCTGAGGTGGAAGCCATTGAGCCTTCTTTCATGTTTAGAGTATGTGGTCTACGACTCGCATCCATACAGGAGTGTGCTCAGTACGCAGCCCTGGTACACATGCAGCTTAGTTCTTGTTGTGAGTTTGGCGTTTGACCAGACTCTTTTCTTCAGTCTGGCCATAACAGTTGCGGCCTTCCCTATCCTCCCACTTATCTCATCCTCCATTGAGAGGGTGCTCGATATGTTGGATCCCAGATATGTGAATCTGTCAACAGTATCCAAGTCGTAGTCGTCGATAGCAATAGTGGGGAGGGAGTCAGCGCCCTCTGCCATGCTAGTTTTCTTTAGGCTAATTGTCAGGCCAAACTCTTTGCAGGCAGCGGATAGGCTGGATAGGAGGCTCTGCAGGCCGTCTGCTGAGTGAGATACCAAAGCGGCATCATCCGCAAACAAGAACTCCCGCAGCAAGACCTTTCTTGTTTTAGTCTTAGCTCTAAGGCAGGCAATGTTGAATAATTTGCCGTCATCTCTAGTGTGGATGTATATCCCCTCGCTGTTGTTCTGAAAGGCATACTGGTGTAGGATGGAGAAAAAGATTGCAAATAAAGTAGGAGCCAGCACGCAACCTTGCTTTACTCCACTACTCACTGGGAAAGCTTCTGAGGCGGCACCGTTATAGCACACTGTGCCCTGCTTGTTTTCATGGAAGTGCTTGATTATGTTAAGCAGTCATGTAGGGCAGCCTATCTTTTTGAGGATCTGAAACAGGCCGTTTCTGCTGACAAGATCAAAAGTCTTAGTGAGGTCGACAAATGCAATGTATAAAGGCATATGTTGCTCCCTGCACTTCTCCTGCAGCTGGCGCAGAGAGAAGCTCATGTCTATGGTTGACCTACCGGCGCGAAAACCACATTGCGATTCTTGGAATACACGCGATGCTGGGTCTGTAGGTGTGTTAATGCAACTCTGGTGAAAGCCTTTCCAACTATGCTGAGGAGGGAGACTCCACAATAGTTGTTGCAGTCACTCTTGTCTCCTTTATTTTTGTACAATGTAACAATGTTTGCATCTTTCAACTCTTGTGGTAGCTGTCCCTATTCCCAGCACAGAGTAAGGAGATCGTGCAAGGGCCGTAAATAGTACTCCTTTTCCACATTTGAGAGCTTCTGGTGGGATACCATCATTGCCCGGGGCTTTCCCACTGGCGAGACAATCGATGGCTCTACGTAGCTCTTCTATTGTGGGTAGGGTATCAAGCTCCTCCATGACCGGCAAGTCACTTCCGGTTAGATGGGATTCGTGTACATGTTTTTTTTTATGAAGAATCTTTCTTTGACTATGACATTATTGGCCAAGTAAATCCTCAACAAACTGTGATTTATCAACTAAAATGTCACCATTGCTGGTCAAGGGATGAGCCAAATGTCACCATTGCTGGTCAAGGGATGAGCCAAATGTCACCATTGCTGGTCAAGGGATGAGCCAAATGTCAGGTAACGACCAGTTCCCTACTCGGTTTACAGACCATTGCTGGTCAAGGGATGAGCCAAATGTCACCATTGCTGGTCAAGGGATGAGCCAAATGTCACCATTGCTGGTCAAGGGATGAGCCAAATGTCCCCATTGCTGGTCAAGGGATGAGCCAAAAGTCACTGTCTTCAATATGCTTAGCTATTTATGTGATTTCGGGGTTTGTACTGCATTGTTGATATTCGGCACCATGTTTGTTACCACTTCCTGTCTTACTTGAAGCGTAGCAAAACTCTATTTCTGTGTGTGCTCTCAGACTGAAACACACGGAGTATTAATATTGCTTAATATATAGCTTCGGGTAGATGAGACTCGTAAACCATGGCCGGTAGCTCATATAGGAGAGGGAAACTCTGACTCCAAACCTCTGCTGCCTTGCGGCTATACTCACACGGGAAAGGCTAAGGGAGTAAACCCTGACAGAAAATCAGGAAGAGGAGCTCCTAAGGTGTTCGTTTTTGAAATCAATTGCATTCTGGCAGTTCCTGCGACGCCGATGGTGCCAAGCCGTATCGACACTAGTTGATCCCTTGGGTCCACCACTGGCGTGGAGAGGGGGGATCTGCTGTCTGGGCACAAATAGAATACTAACTATCCGACTATCAACATCTTCAGGTTTAGTCAAGATCCTCAGTGCTTATGCCCCAACCCTTTCCTCCAGCTCAGAAGCCAAAGACCAGTTCTACGAAGATCTTAATCAAACAATAGCCAGCATACCCAACAACGAAGCAATTTACCTTTTGGGTGACTTCAATGCAAGAGTAGGAAGCGATCACATGGCCTGGCCAACATGCCTCGGTCATTTTGGAAAAGGCAGGCTAAATGAAAATGGGCAGAGACTATTGGAACTGTGCTGCCTACATGGACTATGTGTAACTAACACCTACTTCAACTGTAAGGCTATCCACCAAGTGTCATGGAGGCATCCCCACTCTAAACACTGGCACCAGTTAGATCTCATAATCACAAGACGCACACAACTGGCCAGTGTCCTCCTCACACGCAGCTACCACAGCGCAGACTGCGACACAGATCATTCCTTAGTGGCTAGCAAGATAAGGCTACAGCCAATCACCAGTTAGATCTCATAATCACAAGACGCACACAACTGGCCAGTGTCCTCCTCACACGCAGCTACCACAGCGCAGACTGCGACACAGATCATTCCTTAGTGGCTAGCAAGATAAGGCTACAGCCAAAGAAACTGTATCACACCAAAAACAAGAGTAAACCACGCATAAACATCTGCTCCACCAAAAACCCAGAAAGAACAGAAGTATACACCCATAGTCTACAAGAAGCTCTTGTACAAACGCCACCAATGGACACTATTGAGTCCAAATGGTCACATTTGCGGGACACTATCTATAACTCTGCTATCCAGGCATTTGGAAAGAGAGAACACAAAAGTGCAGATTGGTTCGAGGCCCATTGGAAGGAAATGAAACATGTCACCGATGCAAAAAGAAAGGCCCTCTTAGCTTATAAAGACAGACCTTGCCCAGCAACTCTACAATCGCTTAAAAGCGCCAAGACAAATGCCCAGCAGGCAACTCGCCACTACGCTAACACATACTGGCTCAATCTAAGCTCCAGCATACAATCAGCTGCTGATAGAGGTGATGCAAAGTCAATGTACGAGAATATAAAGCAAGCAACAGGCCCTCTGATCTCCAAGACTGCGCCCTTAATGTCCAAATCAGGGGAAATTATTACTGATCGAGATAAACAACTTAAACGGTGGATAGAGCACTACTTGGAAATATACGCAAGGATAAACCATGTCTCAACCGCTGCCCTGGACTGCTGCTATGAACCTACTGGCAATAAATGCAGCTGAATTGTGGAGGCAGACCTGTTTGGTTGACAGCTTAGAAAACAAACAGCTTGGCAGCTCCCATGGGTTTCTGCCTTATCATTCCTTTCAGCTTTAGAGTGAATTTACTGAAATGTTTAAAGACTGACACAAATGTTTTTTGTCTTTAGCCTCATTAATACATTTTTTTTTTAATTTTGTTCCCCAATTTTTTTTATTGCAAATGTATTTTTTTCCTGCAGATAATGAAAGTGAAACTGCAACCCCCATCAGCATCTGATTTTCCTGCATACAACCCAATACTTCCACCGGCAGCCATAACTCAGGTTATGTTAGTGGCTAACCCTAGAAAGGTTGGTTTAGCTAAGTGATGTTATTATATCAGGGCCAACTCTGCATTGACATGGTGATAGATGTGAATGGTGAAAGGGACAAAAACCCTTTTTTTGTTTTTCCCCCTTTTAAAAAAGTACCATACCAGTCTGTGGGGTATGACCACATGGTGAAAAACATTATTTTCCAGGAAGAAAAGAGTGAGTAGATTGGTGCCGCTTTCAAATCATTGGTTGCTGACATAGGTTGGCAAGTTAAACATGGATTTGATGATGGTGCCGTGAATTTAAATAAATTATTCACAACAAAAATATAATTTTTAGATTTTTAAAATTATTTTATTGTGTTTTAATTAGCCTTACTCAACCTACTGGAATCAAGTTCAGAAACAAGATTTGGGAACAAACCTTCATTGAAAAAAATAGACAGAGCCATTGATCTAATAGGCTTCCTTATTTTCCCAGGAAAAAGTGAGATTAAAGTACAAGCTGTCCTACACTTTGAATGGTCAACTAGTATCTGATGTTGGTGATATTGAAGGCATTCCAGTCCAGTAACATGTAAACAGTGATCGGTTTGTTTGTTATTTTTGTGTTTGTTGCTCATGTGGGCTTGATTTTATATTTTCAGGTGGTTAACCAAAACAAATATGACAAAACAATTGTACATTATATTATTTAAATCAACCGTGAGGATGACTTTAATAATTCTGCTTCTTACAAAATGTGCATATGAATAGAAGTTTTGTTGTTGGGAAATATTGCAATAATTTTCCATGCATATCTTTTTTCTAATAGTTTTTACTCGACTGCTCCACACGAATATGTTATTTCCCTTTGCCTACATGATTTTCTACAGCAGATTATCTGAGCATTGTCTAAGTCAACAAAAGCATTCACATAATGTGTTTTTAAAGATTGAGTTTATTTTTGGACCATCACTATCCTATCTGAAAACCTTCAGGTTATTTCTGGTCTATGTGTGTGCAAATAAATTGTGTATATGACTTGGTGAAATAGTCTCGGAAACATCATGAATGGGTGGAATGTTACACTTTGTTCAAGAATTAAAAGTAGCATGTGTATTCCGGAATTAAAGTAGGATATTTCTTGAAAACATTAGAAGTGGTCATGTATATTTTGAATTTACAGAATTTTTAATCTATTTAAAGAAGAAAAGTTCTGTATGATTTGAAATTATATTTTAATTGATCATGTGTCAGGCTGATAAGTTTCTGATTGCTCAAGGGCTAAACTATTTAATGATTATGTCAATATTTTCGTTCTCAGTTTTCTTTTAATATCATTCAGAAAATGTTGGTGATTGTAACTGATAGGGTCGCACAGCCTAAAAAAGTGAGTTCTAATTTAAGGTAATTTGATCAAATGTATCATGTATAATTTATTACTGCAGTGCAGCATTCTGCTAATGTACTCTCCGTCAACTATAATTAGAAAAAAGCACAGTTGCTTTTTTTTAAAGCTTAACAATTTATAGAATCTTCTATTACTTGACACAAAGAATGTGATGTGAACATGATTTATTTCAATTTTTGTCTAACATACTATCATGTCAAAATGGTCTTCTAAAACAGTGGTTCCCAAACGTTTAAGTTTGGCGGACCGGTGAACAAGTTTCGAAATTTTACCAGGGACCGGTGCATGATTTATTTTTATACTTTTATTTCTATTTGACAATAAATATTTATGTTATGGGGACCGGCAGCGTTAGGAATGCGGACCGGTGAAGGTCCACGGGCCGCCATTTGGGGACCACTGTACTAAAACACCCATTTATAGCTACATGGGGTTGCATGTTATAGATAATAAAATGGATATGTTGTCCTTCATATACAAATTATAACTAAAATCCATCTTTTAGTTTAGTGTTTTAAAAATAATTGCTGTCCAGAAAGAAAGGGAAGACCAATTATTTTTCAGGAAAAAAAACCAAGCAGCGATTTTTTTTGTTTTTAAAGAAACATGTTGAAGATTTGTTGTCCTCTGTCAGCACTATCCTGCTCTCTTGTTCTGTTGTTTAACTGATGCAATCTTTTTGTGTTCTGTGATCTTAGATAGATTCAGCAGTTACAGAAATAGCAACCTTGTGATGGATTTCACTGCTATGCCTGTATACATTTACTGAGCTGCAATACTCAAACACATCAATCTGTGGAAGCTAAATTCAGATTACCGGTACTTTATTGGACTAAGATGCTTTACAGCTATTTCTGCTCTCACATACTGAATAAACTCTGAAAGTCTTTTTGCTATGTGAATGTTTTTATAAAATAAAAGACGGACCTTGTGATCAGAAGATGTTTTGCAAGGTTTTTATCTAAATTTCTAGAAAAGTTTGACCTAAAATACACCAGTTATCTTATCAAAGAACATTCCCTGCCATAGGGGGCACTTTTCAAAAAGGGAGAAGTCAATTTTTTATTTAGAAATTGAGTTATGGTTACATTTTTTTCCTATGGGTAAAGGATGTTTATTAACTTCAGTTAAATAAGGGACAAAAGTTATACCGGTATTCATTTTGTCTAAATTTGCCATTTATAAAAAAAAGCTCTTCAAATGAATTATTAAAGAAGTAGATCAAATTTAAATTTACAAAAGGAATCATTTTTTTTTTTAATTTAGTATTAAACAAAATATTTAGTCACTTATCTAGATGACACTGTAGAAGATTTTGTAGATAATGTACACAAATAGTATGAGTCATTACTGATAAGTTTTTCCAAAGATGTCAGTGTATTTGTATTTATACTTGTTTTGCTATCTTGTGTCTATGAATACTATGATTATTATATGAGTTATTACTTGTGACCATATATATGTAATACAATTATGTACTAAGAAATGTTTTATGTTGTGATAGACACACAACATGGGATGGATATCAATCTTGTCATTATACAGCACTTGAAATTTGGTTCCTCTTCTTAAAAAACAGGACAGCTAGTATCATTAACTATCTTATTTCTTTCAGTATTAATTAATGATAAAGTGCTTGTGTTCAGTGTAGTTACATACTTTAAATAAATTTTTTTAGGTTTTCTCTATCTACATTAGCTCAATGAAATCAATGAAATGACATATTAAACTAATCTTTCTAATTTAGCTCTGGTGCGTTTTGAGAGATCATTAGCTTCTTTGCACTTAATTGCTTTCTAACGAAACACACTGATTAATCTATTCTATAGGGATTTAGCATTTTAAGTAAGCTAGCAGTAGCACTGGTACAAAAAAGAAAATAATGGTGTCCTTCATCTAGTCCTCAAAGTTAAGTTAGAACTCATTCATTGTTTCATTTTACCTTGCCACCTTTTTAGTTCATTGGAGTCTTTAAAATGATGTGATACAAAAATTATGCAGAAATAAATGCTTGCCATTCAAAAAAAAATAAAGTATTGTTTACATTTCTATATATAATATGAAGTCTGTATTAATAATGAGTGAACTTTGGATAGCCAAAAGAAATTTTAAAAATTAAACTGTCAAAGACTAAAGGGCTACCATTAAAAAAAAACAATATGGCAGTCTTCAAAGGCTGACATCAACCAAATTAACATTATGTCATATACGGTATATAACATTTCTGTAGTGCTATTTACTGCTTGTAATTTATTTCATCTTTTTTTTTTTGACTTGTATGATGCTATACCATATGTAAAACAGAAATGCATGAAAACAATAAACTGTTACATGATTTATTTTACAACTTAGTCTGTACACTCAATTATGAAAATGTTGACATCAAATTATGCAAGAATGCAGCTGTTGTTATTCACCTTTTAAAATATTTTGATTCAAACCAGGCAGAATGCTGGATCTTTTGTGGCTGAAGACTTTTTAGTGCTTTACAATTAGTGCCACAGTGAAAGGATAATCAGAATAATCCTAGCAATTTAAGGAATTGATTGAGTTTTCACATGTCGGCCTCTTTAATTTATGATACCGGTAGCATTAAATGAGCCAGTGCTTTAAATTATCTGATTTTAACTACCCTCTCTCAACTGGAACTCAAGATGACAGTGTCAGATCTGTGATGTTAAGTGTAAGCCATTTCTGTGCATTAAAAAATTGAAACCTTAAATAAATTGCAATTTATATAACATGTATTTTAATTAGTAATATTAAATTTCAGATTCAATCATAAACAATGGATTTCAACTACATTCGACTTAGGTAATCAAATATTTATTTTAATTTATGCAATTTATTTCATTACATCAACAAATTTAAATCACAATAATAATAATGAAACAAGCCTCAAAGTTCAACACTTTTTTTTTTAAAAAATGCAAATTGTTTCACTTTCAAGTTTTATAGTACTCTATGCTATACAAAGGTATTGGTGACTCCAACTCTGTCGCTGTTCTAATGAAAGACACTAGGAATGAAATAAAAATGTTTCATATATAAAATTTAACAAATTTCCTGCAAGAACAGAAGGATAATGGTTAATAGTTACATGTAAGTTATTGTTACAAACTCCTGGAAATATTTCTAGATAATGATACTAATATGATGATAGCCATCATTTGTATTTCACTTCCTAAATGAACTTAATTAAACCAATAACAATGAGACAGTGTGATGGAGAGGATTTTTATGGGAACTGGCCAAATGAATCTGAGTTTTCAAATGGTCAATGGATTGTTGGGGCAAATGAAACTGAGTTTTAAACTAATCTGCTGATCCAGCAAAAGCAGATGGACAAAAGGGTTGCTTGGACAAAAGGGTTGCTTGGCCAAATGAGACATGAGTTTTCAACTCATCTGCTAATCCAGCAAGAGAAATAGACCGAGTTTTTAGTGTTCTAGTTAACACATTATAATAGACCAATGAGTTTTTAGTGTTCTGGTTAACACATTATAGACCCCTCATGTTAGTGAAAATGCAATTTTCAACCCCATTGCAATGAAGGATTTGTAACACTTGTGTTCCCTTTAAGTTGATAATCAACTATAGATGCTAACTCAGTGGTTATATTCCCATGGTATTGCAACAGGACTAGGATGCTACCTCCTCCATATTTAGAATTAGAACTATTTAAAACCCTCATCTTTTACCTGTTTCATAATATAGTATGTAATTTCATCTAATGAATACATTCCATTATGAAGAAAAATGATATAAATCTAGAAGTGGTTAGTGATTTTTAACATATTCAGCTAAGTTGCAGGTTAAAAATGAGGCTATAGATAAGTCATTAAAAACTTATTGAAAAAAAATCATTTGTTTCAACTTTAAGTCTTCTAAAACGAAAGTAACTTGTTAGACTTGATCTTTTTGTACTGTATAGACATTTCTAAAGTTACAATAATAGAAACTAGATATGTACCACTGGTATTAAAAAAAAACTTATCGGCTATATAACATACAAGATCATTCAATGAACTATTTATGCAAACAAACAAAAAATTATTTAAGTGTTTTTTTTTAACAGATTGTTTTAAATACATTGCCTGCAAAGAAAAATATATACATCCTTAAAGAATTTATTTACCTTTAGAAACCGTCAGTAAAATTGTTCTCTGTTAACCTAGTAATCCTAGCAAGTCAATTATCAGACATCACCTCACGTTTAACAACAATATTCATCCCAACAGGACTATCTTCACTTTCACTGCTAGTGGACGAGTCTAGATCACTACTATTACTGGGAATTTCTAGTTTTAAACCCATATGATGAATTTCATTGTTGCTTTGATCTCCACTATTGTCTGTGGAATTTAAATCTGTTCCTGTGCCTGTCGAATTCAACATCGACTCATCAAAGGAAGTATTACCCAATAAATGTTCATCCGTCAATATGCATGGCTTTAGGGGGCCACTTTTGTCTGATTCACTGTCAGATTTGGATGGAGATGGCTGATCTACTCCATCAACAGTCTGAATGAGCTGAATGGGCTGAAAGTGAGAAAACCCACCCTCAGAGCGGTTGACAAATATTTCACCATCATGAATAACAATGTGTCCATTGGATGACACAATCATTTCACCGTTCTGTGTCAGCATAACCATATCCTCTGCTTGTCCATCTTCGTTGAGGACAACCTCTTGTGTGGTAACCACCTCCTCCTCTGTGACCTCCTGGTTGTGACCAACAACCAGATCCTCTGTAAAAATAACTTCATCCTGTGCCTGATGAAGTTACAAAGTAATTTAAATTCAACACTAAATCAAGTTCTTACATAATTTGGTTATTTACAGTATCGTGACTTTATTATAGTTATAGAATCAATGAACTTGTCAAGTTGACAACCATTATGACAATTAACTCATAAATGTATTGTTTAATTTAAAAAAATGAATAGAGCTGTAGCAAATAACAAATTATTATGGTTAACTAAATAATAAATAGTCTGTTGAAGCCGATTTCATGCCATGTAAAAGTTGTATTTTAAAGATTGAACCTCAAGAACCCTTGCTAAAATATTTAAAATAAAGTTTTTAATAAAATATTAACATAATGTTACAGTAAACTAGTTTTATATAATCTTTTAAACAAGAATTGAGAATTCATATAATCTCACCTCTGAGTTTTCTTCGGTTTTCATTATATCCCCTTTGTAAGAATGTTCATTCTCTATTTCATCCCCACTTTCATCTGATGAAATATCAGGATACACACCAGCTTTTTTAAAGGAGTACAATAGAGCATGCCTTGTCAAAACTCTACTATATGCTTGCCAAGCAAGGTCCCCTATACAGGTTCTGCTGATGCAAGGACCAGATGAAGTCTTGAGATATTTATGGCATATACTTTCAAATTTTTTCTGTAAAGCTTCAGCACATTCCACCTCAAGAGGCTGAAGGAGATGCGTTGTGTGTGCTGGTATAAAAGAGAAAATTACATTGTTTTCTCGACCCCACTCATTCATTCCAACAAAAACATGGCTTTTTGAACCATCCATGAGTACTAGGATAGGGGCATCATCTTCACGTTGAGCTTGAGGGAGAAAGTGTTCATTTAAATATCTACGGAAAATTTGAGGTGAACATTTACCATTCTCTGAAACTGAAGCGCTGACCTCGCTTGGTAAACCCCTCTGCATTTCTGGACGCAGTCTGCTCGCTTGGAATATAAAGAATGGAGGCAACACCTTGCCAGAAACACTTCCACATGCTATCACAGTGGTATTTGTGGAATTTTCTGTCTTAAATTGATAATTGGATTTTCCTGCTCCAGAAGAAGCAATACCATGATAAGTTGATAATTGAATTTCCATTATATTGTATATTCTGTCACTTTTCTCCAAAAGCTTGTATCTATCAATTATCTTTTTTATCTCTTCAAAATAAGTTCTCACAGTGTGTTCTGCATCTGACTTGTTTTTGTACTTACAGCTCAACTCTCTGATACCCGGCCAACGATTGATAAAGCTGTCTACCCATTTCGTTGTTAAGCCATTTGATCTAGGTGTCCGCTTCCCTTTCTCTACTGCTTGATCTGTGGCAATCTCAGCCAATTCAAGGCGTGTATAACGGTAGCCATAGCGAGCCATGGTTTGTAGGAAGTGAGCTATCTCAGACTCCTCTTCTTTGGCCATGAGCAGTGGTGGACCCGGTCTGGTTGTATCAATACTTATCCTGCCATCCACTCTGTCTCGAAGCGTGGTGAGAGGAACACCGTATTGTTTTGCAGCAGCATTTACAGAAATGCTGCTGTCTTTCACAGCTTTATAAGCTGCTTGTAGGGCTTCCTTACTATAAAGTCTTCTTTTTTTTACTACACGTGCTGGTGGAGCTGGGGAAGAAGCTTTAACCCGCTTACTAGTAGGTGGGAGAATGATAGATAGCCTCTTTTCTGGAGATTTCTTAGATTTTGATGACCTCTTTGATTTCTATTAAAATAGAATTTGAAAAAAAAATAATTAAAATATAATCAGTGTAATTTGTTACGTACATGTAGTACTTAACAATGTAAACAATTTGTTATTATTTTTTTTTAAATAAAATTAATCATAATATGAGTATTTATGAGAGAAAAGAATAATTGGAAAAATGTGCTGCTCCCTTACAAGTTGTGTCTTTACAATGTATTGATATTATAGATATCTGCAGACTAATCAGTGGAACCCAACTAAAATTTTATTAAATATTTTAGAATGTCAAAATTTACTTCAGTAGTCCAGTTCATGTGATTAAAAAATGGGATATCCAAAACCTGCAGATGCCTCTCATTGAGCCCTAGTATGAATTAATGATACTCAGACCTCAGTTAAATATTTCTGTTTTTCACTGGAACAATTTCATTTTCATGTAAAAGGCAATAAATAAGGGAAAGAAAGAATTGGTAAAGTAAATTTTTTGTTTGATAATATTAATAATAATCAATATAGTAAAAATCAACATTTCATGTCACTTCTGACTTTAAATTAAATTTAGTGAAGTCTTTATCGTAATTAAGTACTGACTTGCAGAACTAATAGTTAAAGAAGAGTAAATAGAGTGTTTTGAGTACCGGTACTTGCTAAATGTCATTCTTGCACTCTTTTAAAAAAACGAAATTTACTACCACTGCCATGTTGTCCATATTCAATTCAAAACAAACTGTAAAAGTTAAAAGTCTTTGACTTTGGTTAAACCCAAGTCACTGTCCTAGTTGAACATTCAAATTGTTTATTTCTTTAAGTTTAAAGTGAAGAGTGTTACTGTTGGTACTGTTTGCCAAATAAAAATAAAAGTAGAAAAAAGGAGAAACTTCTGTAAAAAATGGAGATTAAAATGCAAATTTGTATCAGAAATGGGCATCAGCCCAGTAAAATACAAGTTTTTAATGTTTTTATGTGAGTTTCAATTTATAATGAATTAAGAGCGTTTGGCATATAATTGTGTTCTGTTTCCTCCCTTACACTTTGGAAAACATCTTATTTTAATTTATTTTAAAGTTTGCTCGTTCCACTCTAATACTGTAAAGTACTACTTTTATAATGTAATATAATATACTTTTATAACGTAATAATATAATGAAATTGTAATTTTTTTTACTAAGTATCTACTTTTACAATAATAGTAAATAAATGTAAATCTCTAGAATAGACAGTATATAATATAAGAGCACTACTTTGTCTCAAGGCAGTCTCAACTAAGTATTGAGAATCAAGATAATGAAGTATTAGGTCTAATACTCTAATTCAGACACTACTAACTTACCTGAACATTGGTCATTGGTACTAAATTTATTAGTCTTTTATTGTCTATCGAATCACACAAGTCACAAATCGCAACTTAATTTTTGCCATAGTGGCCCATCATAGGCATAGGGCTAGGGCGTCTAACTTAATCCTAACAGTAACAGGCCTATGATTGTCCTACCTCAATGACTAATAATTACTTGTTAGTGTTTGGATTAAGGTGGTCCATGGGTCAAAAATTTTTTTTCTATGTTTCTTAATTTAAAAAAAAAAAAAATAGTACAAACAAACCATACACAAACAGAAAGCCAAAAAAACACAAAAGTTTATTTAAAAAAAATTTTTTGTGACTTTTATTGCAAAAAATTGAAAATTTTATACCAATTTCGACTTTCACGCAAAATGAATCAAACAATTTGTTTATTGCAATATCATAATGAAACTTTGCATACACATTAAGAATAACATTGACAAAAAGTTTAAAGAAGCTTATTACACTGCAGTTATTGGAAGTGTTACAAATGGCATGTATTTGGGGTGACATAAATCTTCGAGAAATTTTTAGGGGTACCATATGTAAAAATGTTATAAAACTTTTCTAGTTGGATATATATAAAAAAGCCTCTTCTAACATGTAAACAATATCATTGAAAAGAAGCATGCAAAGTTTGAAGCCTGTATCTAGAATACTTTTCCTCCTGAATCATTTGGCGTTCCAAAAACTTCTGGAAAACGCAAAGCTGAGAAAATCAAAAAAGAAGTCTAAAAATGTTGATAAAAAAAATTACAGGACAGATGAACAATATAGGATGCATACAACATGCACATATTCTATACAAGAATGAAAAATCAATTTAAAAACATAGACATAAAAGATAGAAAATAAATTAATGCATTTTTTCGGAAACCACCACTCGAGCGCAATAAAAATATTATAATAATAAAAAATTCAAAAAAAATTTTTTATGAGTATTTTGTTAAAAAAACATCAATCAATAAGTAGAGAATATCAATAGCAACAAGCAAGCAAAATTTAAAGTATGTAGTCATAATACTTTTCCTTCTGATACATTTGACGTCAGAGAAAAACTGAAAAACATAAGTTGAGAAAAACAAAAAATGATTTGAAAATTGTTAATTAAAATTTTACCAGATATGTGAGCATTGGTTGTATAAATTATAAATATACACCATTCATTAAAAATAAAATACAATTTAAAAACATAAAAAGGCAAGATAAAATTAAATTCACATCATTATTCTAAATTCCACTTATTGAAGTTATTCATAAATAATATAAAAAAAATTGAAACAAAGCTCTGGCGAGCCACCAAACATGAACCTGTAAATCAGGATGTAATGAAATGCGTACATACACAATTTGTAAATTAAAAAATCAAAGGTATATAGATAATATATAAAATAATTGAAAGTGAAAACTGTAAAGCCCATCCCCATAAATTACATTCAAAAATCATTAGAACCACCCGCTAAATACTGTGCACCCCCTTCTACTAATAAAAGCCTATCTGATTCCCTCTTCTCTGCCCCCCTAATTAGCTCCCTCCTCCTCTTGACATTTAATTTTAAAGATGACTCAGCTTTCCTAACTCTAACATTATCCCTCTTTACCCCCAACTGATGTGTCATATGACCTATTCCCAAACCAACTGATGATAAGAAGTCTTTGGACGCCTTAGAACCCATATTAAATTCTCCAACACCCACGGCTACAGAAATTTCCAGCCTTGACCGTTTCACAAAAATGTGTTTGGGGCATCGGGACCATATGAGTGAGTGGATGCACTCATTGACGTTCTGGGTTTTGCCCTGAAGGCAGCGACGTAGCAAATCTTCGTTAGTCATTCTTTCATAAACATCTTTCACATATTCAGCTACAGTTGGGTTGAGGTATGTTGAAATATGTGAAAGATGTTTAGGAATAACTAACCCTTTAGCCACTGCCTTCTTGAAAAAACACCAGGACGTCTCACCATCGGGGCAGTCATCATGGCGTGGTTCTTCATCAGTTGAAGTGCAATGCCAGAATCCTGCCCAGATTGCCCGCTTCATGTCTTCCACATTTTTGTTGGATCTAACAGCCTTAGTGAAATATTTCTGTAGCCGTTTGATCTTGTCTTGAGTAAGGCGCCCAACACCCTTACCACCAAGCGTAATTTTCTGTTTTTTTTTTGTGTCTACCAGGGTTCTCAAGGCAGTTCCAAGTCGTTTCGAAACATGGTTTACGCACTCGTGCTTTTCCACTACCAAGCCGGGATACGGATTAGAATTGTGTATCGACTTGATAGTGTTTGTGTCTCCATCGGACACAACAGTACGATAACGTAAACCATGTTTCGAAACTGACCTGCCCCACATTGCAACAGCAGCTTGTTGTTCCATACTTCCACTGGATCCAGTGTGATTAATATCACAAGATATTTTGTGACTTGCCATCCAGGAAGTAAATTTCTCCTTACTTTCCTCTTGCATCTTTTTACCAGTAGTTGAACACCTCTGGCAAAACTTTGAAAGACATTCAAAGTCGACAACAAGGCCGGTTCGGTTCTCGATGACACAACCAATGCCAGATTTAGAGCTGTGGCCGCGAGTATGCCAACTTCCATCATAAGACACATCAATGTCTACTACCCCTGCTTGGTTTTGTTCTGGATAAGCTGCCTTCACTTTATCCACTGCAAGCTCCAACAACTTATCCTTGTAGGTTGGTAGTGATTGATGCAGGGTGGTAGCATGTTGGTCGAATGTCTTTTGATGAATGTTAGGAACATTAATAATTTCAAAAAACTTCCCCATACCAGCATATCCCAATCCAGTCACCAGTGATGCTGCCACAGCTCTTTTGTTGACATCAAAAGTTTTGCCAGTGCACACAACTGATGTATAAGAAGATGTGATGACGAAGTCACATACATTACAAATCACTTCCAAAAACAAAGCTAGTCCAGAACGTTTCTTGTCATCACTGCGGAGCACGAAGTGTCCCTCCTTGCATTCAGGGCATGAAAATTTTTTAAAAAGTGGCTGGAGGGCATCTACCTGCATTATAGATGAGGCAGAGAGGCCTAAGTTGTGCTGACATTCAAAGGCATGAAGTTTTGTTTTTGAAGCAGATGATGCCACAGAATCTTCACATCTAGAAGCTGGCAGTGAAGCGGGTGGTTGAGCTTGCGGTGAAGCGGGTGGTTGAGCTTGCGGTGAAGCAGGCGATGAAGCTGGTGATGTGTGGCCCCTCTTCTGTTTTTCCTGTTTCGCTTGTCTCATCATCAGCATTTTCTTGGACTTCTTGGACAAGGGTGCCATTTTCTATTTAGACCAAAATAATATTTTTATTAGTACTAGTATTATCATTAAAAAATAGCAAGGTTTACTTAGGCATTGTCATTGGTAATACTGGTACAAAACAACTAAGAATGTAAGAATGGTATACTCGTAAATTTCTATAATTATTTTTGTATTTTTTTTGTAAAAATATATTTAATGGAAAAACTAGGCTTATTCCAACCATTCGTTGAAAGTCATTTTGATTTATTATTACCGGTATAATACTAAATAAATGACTGAAATGTTTTCATTGACAACGCTATAAAATTTTGAAACATAGAAACCTATTTGGACATGTGTATGGACACAAAAGTAATGAAAGATAATATTGAACGTTTAGTTATATTAAAATATACAATTATAAATTAGGGTCATTTCGTCTAATTTATAATTAGGCATAAAGAATCTTTTCTAATCAAAAGCTTTTACTTTACGCACACAAGACTCGAGTGCGTTACTCCGATTTTATTACTAAGCCCAAGCCTACTGTCTGACAAAACCTAGCTCAACATTCGGTGGAACGCCTAAAACTAGCTAAAACTATGTATTATAAATTACATTATACAATAATTAATTCAACTTACCTTTTTAAAGCAAGAAAATAAGTTCAAATTTGAATTTATTTGAAGACTGCAAAAGTAACGTCGATCGATCGATAAAAGGTTACGCTAACTGGACACAATGAATTTGGGAGACGGCTATTGCATTGTGGGATAGATTTCTGACTTGTTGATGAAGTCTAAAAATAGCTGACCAATGACAATATCCGATTTATTGAAACTTTGAATCTCGACCAATAAGAAAATTTGTTCGAGCGAAAATATAGAGGCTTTGTGGAACAAAGAGCTCCCGCCAGCCTTATTTCTGAACATTTTAGTGGGCGATACCATTACCGAGTAGAGAGGCTAAGCTTTCCATCGATACCAAATATGACTATATTGCGTTGTAATTATATTGTAAAAGCGAAGGGTGCGCCAGGGGGTCAATGGGGCTTGAATTTTGCCCCAGAAGTCAAAATTTGCTCCTACCATGCTACTTTAAAATACATTTTTAACAACTTTAAATTATTTTTTAATGAAAATGGTAAAAACCAAAATGTTCCTTAGATGTTTATCTAGTAAAATTCACCATAATCTCATTTTTGATAAAAATTATATAAATATCGATATTTTCCCCCGTGGACCACCTTAAGTTAAATTAATAATATAAACAAAATTAAGGATTGATTTAATATAAAATAGGCACTCTTTGTCCGGCGACCAAGTCACATGACCGCCGTAAGAAATGACGCGAGATATTTGTCCGTCAGCCCTGTCACGTGACCGCGAATGATTCAAAACTATTGTTAATTTTAAAATCTATTTCAATTTCTCTACCAAGTAATGTACTGAGTATCTTGCAAACAAATAATAGAACAAAATACTTCGGTATATTACCAAAACAAAGTGGGACTTAAGCAATAATGCATTCTAGAAGGAAGCAATGCTGAGAGGGAGAGAGAATTACGGTAATAAAAAATACGAATGCTAAAAAAATAATAGTGAGGTTAATAGTGAGCCTTCCAGTGGTCCGGCGGTCATGTGACATGCCCACCGGACGTATATCTCCTGCACTATTTGTCCGGCGCACCAGAAGTGTAGACACTTCGTATAAAATAATAAATGGTCTAAAAGTAAAAGATAAGATTGAATAACTTTAATAAGACAAACACAAAGTGTATGATAAAGACTCAAAGAGTATATTGGATTAGATTAGTTCTGGTGAGAGACAATTTAAATAAAATCACTAATATGCCAATCAATAACATTTTACTTTTAACGAATGGGACAAAGTTCACAATTACAAAGTAATCAAATTCAAATTTTGAAACACTCAGGCACAGTCATAGAGTATAGTATAGACTAGACAAAATATACCAATTTAAATTTAATATTAAATCAACCAAAATAGTAGGCCCTTTGTGGAGTATCATTTTCAAAGTCAAAAGAATAGTAATGTAGTGTAATCAAACCATTTAAAATACTTTAACTGTTAGAATCGATAATTGGTTACTTTTGTAACATGGGGCAAGTCTGCTATCATCGTTACAAAGACTGTTGTTGTTATAAGAAGTCATAAAATGTCCGCTTAAACTCTCATACATCTCATCACTTGTATATCATTCTTGTAAATTTTACCTTTTTGGGTTTCATATTTGAAAGCAGTGGATAATTTGATGGATTATAAAATTAAAGAGTCGAAAACGTGTCCTGTAAAATATGGAAGTGCGGAATAAACAACAGGGTCAGATTAAAAATTGGTACAGGAAAGAAAATTGTTGATTTATGTAAAACTGTTACTAATTTATCAAATGGAAGAAAAAATATATTGTAGTGTTGTGTTGATGGGTTTTTTTTAAAGTAAATAAAAATTGATCGTTTAATAATATCTGATGTATCCAATAGTGGTATGCATTCCATTTTTTTATAGCTTCTAGTCCTAGTGAGTTTGATTGATGATTGGAGTGGGCAGAGGGAATTTGGTCTTAACAATGACTGATACTGATACTGACTCTTGCTTAGTCCCTTGCCCTTAGTCTCGAGTCTTCAGTTTCAGTCTTGTCTTGTCAGCCTTATTTGTGAGTTTTCTTGCGTCGCTTTTGCCTCGTGTCTTGTATCTTTTGACTGTGTCTTCTTAATCTAGAATCTGATGAGCCATCCAGGCGAGTTTGTATTTGTACACTATTCACTATATAATATATACTCAGTACTGTATTAGTGTATAAATAATATGCTTAAAGTCTGAAGTTAAAGTCAAGTATAACTTTTACTTGACTTAAACTTTAAACAGAAAGACTAACTTATTAAGTGTATAACTTAGTATAAGTACAACTGGTACTAGGGTAGCCAGATGAAAAAAAATATAAAGGAGGACATTCATTGCATATAGAAAAGTGTTGTGTTAGTATAGACTAAAATACTCTAATAGTTAAAACTGTATTCTGTATTATTGTGTATTCTTAAAATGGTATTGTATGGATGGGCATTATGGCTTTCACGGACTCATCATCAAGTCTATCCAGCTCCTTGGTTCACTGAGAGTTTATCATTGGAAAAAAAACTCTCCAAGATCAAGTTTGCATTTGAGCAGGAATGCGGAATTAAAATTAAAATTCTCCAAATTTTCAGTAAATTCTGAGTAAACAATAAATACTGGGGCAAGATTTTATCAGTACTGTCTATTGTTCATGCAGCCTTTGATCTTTGAAGAACTTAATCCCTTTGTCTTCAGATTTGATGAATGACATGTTTGTGGTTGTAAAATTGCTCATACTACCCATACTCATACAGTTTCAATATGTTTCATGCCTTCAGTGATGGCACTTTTTTTTGTTAAAACAAAACACAAAAATCTAATCTTTTGAAGCCTCCCCTGCCACTTTTCAGTTGTGTGTCCCCCGCTATCAAGGCTGATTTTTTTTTTTTAATTTGCATATGCAAGTTAATGCATCTTTATATTACCGAATAAGAGAAATTTTATGTATGTACACAATGTAGGCCTTTTGACGAAATTAGTAAAAGTACTAAATCCAAAGATTGTTTTGCTTGTCACACACACCGTTGCAAAAAATTAGAGGCACAATTAATCAGCAGTGCTCTACTAACTTCTACAACCATCATGCTGTTCACTTGATATTAACTAAATTTTTAAAATAGGCTTTTCTCAGAACTTTAAAATCACAAGCAATTATAAATGTTCGGAATTAGTATTGACTTTATATTTTAAACATTTAAGAAATCATCATTTTGCAACTCTCACACATAACATGTCTATTTCTAACAGTCTGTTATACTGCCAGTTCATAATGCTAGCCAGTGGATATCTGAATCCTTGGCCTCAGTGTCACAACAAAACTATCAAGGACCTATTGAGTTAAGTGTCTATGATGATGCCAGTACGGTAAGTAACTTGGTTTGATTAATCCTTTCATGCACCTTATTTGAGTCTTCTTTAAGAAGAAAATGGCTTTAGAAATCAGGTGCATACTTTTCTAAAGACCCTTGAATGTGTAATTTGCAGTAATTATTTGGTATACTTTTTAGGTGTGCAGGTCTGTCTTAATGTTTTTGTAGGCCCTGGACCAATCAATGCATTTGGCCACTGCAATGAACACCCCCAAGTATATCTACTGAAGTGCAGTTCAGATCAAATTGTCTAGGGCAGAGTTTCCCAAACTTTTAAGTTTCACGGACCGGTAGACAAGTTTCGAATCTGCACCAGGGACCAGTGCCAGATTTATTCATTACATTTTCTTTCTATTTAAACATCAATATTCATGCTCTCTGGACCGGTAATGTAAGGCTTGCGGACCATTGCCGGTCCACGGACCACCGTTTGGGGAACACTGGTCTAGGGGACTACAATACTGTTAATATACTTTACTGACTGATTAATACTGGAATACTAATAGACTACACTACTAGCATTCTGAGAATCAATCCAAACATTGAATTTTCAGCAACTAACCACTAACATTAGGACCACTAGCACAACACTACTTGCACTCTCCATGCACCTTCTGTTTTCACTAACTTTCATACCATGGTCACACACCACTTTTCCACATCACATGTTTATTGGCCTTTACCTTTCAGCCAATCACACCACAAGACATACCATCACAACTCACTTTTCAAACATGCTCACAAACCAGATCTTAGCAGCCACCTGCCTATTCCATCACTTTCTATAATAAAGATGTCAATATCGATTAAATTAAATATTTTTTTATTTTTTAATAATTTTTTTTTTTTAATATTATACTAAGGATAAACCATAAATTACATTTGAACAATATATAATAAGATGATATTCAATTGTTAAACCATATAGTCTGAGGTGGCTCAGTGTGCATTACTACTTACATATTTTTTATTAATGAATTATGCAGCATGGAAATTGCCATATTTATTTTCAAAGAATATCCATATCATTGCCTTGAAATCAATATTTTTTAAAGGTTTCCTTTTTCATTTACAATAATTTACATGTATGCAATTCTGTTCAAACGCTGCCACCCCATTGTGCTGGGGAGCGTATGTTTTTTAATAGTTATCAGTAGTATCCGTCTTTGAAATAAAAGTTCTCTTACAAAGTTGGTCATCTCAATGCAGATGAAGACTTTGAAGACAAATTCAGCATTTGGAAATATAGCTTTTCAAACTGTACGAATTTATTTTGTCTGTATGTTGTTGACACAGACTTGATCCATCACCAGCTACACATGGCTTAGATTCTATTAATAAATTGTAACATTTTTTCAGGATGATAGTGGGAGAGTTATAGAAAGATGGTGCAATACTCTTGGTAATTCAAAGTTTACCCTAAAAATATCAGGCCATGAAGGAAAACCCCATGGAGGTAAATAAGTTATTTTTACCATAACAAATTAAACTTTAAGGTTTTAATATGTTTAAACATTTTTTTTGTTGTGGTTACACCAACATTTCTCTTGTTTACCTAATTTATTTTTACCAGTGTTTTTTTATTTTTTAAAGAAATCTGCCTTATGAAATATTAACTTAATGTTGCATCTTTATCAAACAAGAGCAGATAGAGTGTGCATTTTGTTTAGTGAAGTTGTGTGGCATCAGGATCAAGGTTATTAATCCGGCTTCTAAAATATCAACCACATTTTTTTTTAATCTATCAATTTAAAACTGATCTGAACAGTTTTCTCTGACAGATTTTGTTAAACCTTAGGTAGACTAGTTGTTTTTTTAAGCAGCATTTCAGAGTTTTGTTTTATAGGGGGAAAAAAGGGTAGAACAAATTGAACTAGGAAATTAGACAACCTCACTAGTCCATTATGACATGATACAAATTAGACAACCTCACTGAATCATTCTGACATGGTACAAATTAGACAACCTCACTGGATCATTCTGACATGATACAAATTAGACAACCTCACTGGATCATTCTGACATGGTACAAATTAGACAACCTCACTGGATCATTCTGACATGATACAAATTAGACAACCTCACTGGATCATTCTGACATGGTACAAATTAGACAACCTCACTGGATCATTCTGACATGATACAAATTAGACAACCTCAGTGGATCATTCTGACATGGTACAAATTAGACAACCTCACTGGATCATTCTGACAGGGTACAAATTAGACAACCTCGGTGGATCATTCTGACATGGACAAATTAGACAACCTCAGTGGATCATTCTGACATGGTACAAATTAGACAACCTCAGTGGATCATTCTGACATGGTACAAATTAGACAACCTCAGTGGATCATTCTGACATGGTACAAATTAGACAACCTCAGTGGATCATTCTGACATGGTACAAATTAGACAACCTCAGTGGATCATTCTGACATGGTACAAATTAGACAACCTCAGTGGATCATTCTGACATGGTACAAATTAGACAACCTCACAGGACCATACTAACGTAATAAAAATTAGACAACCTCACTGGACCATACTGACATAATAAAAATTTGACAACCTCACTGGACCATACTGACATAATAAAAATTTGACAACCTCACTGGACCATACTGACATAATAAAAATTAGACAACCTCACAGGACCATACTGACTTATTACAAATTCTGCAGCAACATAAACCAGCTTTTGGTTGTCTTAAAAGCTATAATCTTGTGATTGTTTATACTGGCATTTGCTTGTTTTCTTTAGGTTATAAATCCATCTACCCTTCTACTCATGATTCTGTAGCTTATTTTGGGTCTGCCTAGATAAATAAAGGTTTCATTACTGCTGCAGAAATTCATCATGTGGACCTGGACATCGAACAGCTGGGAACTCCTTGTCAGACAGTTTAGCTGCCCCCCCCCTCCCCCTTTCCTCATCTAGTGTATTTGTAGCTTGTGTTGCAGTTTTAAAAAAAGCCTACAATAAATGTTTTTTTGTGTTTCAACTTCTGCTTGTCTTAATGATAATGTGGCACCGTATATATGAGATGACATTTTTTAAAAGAGACTTGGTGTATTTCAGTGGGATTTGCCAAAAACCAGGCCATTGCCCAAAGCACAGGAGAGTACCTTTGTTTTTTGGATGCAGTAAGTCTCTCTTGTTTCTTATAAATAGTGGAACCAGGTATGTTTAGGCTTGAAAAAAAAAAAAAGACAGAACATATCAATTAAGAGTAAAATATCCTTCATTCAAGCCTCTAGAAAAGGAAACTCAAATTCTATTTATTTTTTTTTTACAAATAACAATTAATGTCACTTTTTGTTATTCAGTTATGTACTTAAGGATAAAATTATTGATTATAAATAACAGTAAAGATTAGACATGATAGCGGATTTAATTGAATATTTAAGGATGATGTCATGCATCCAGACAGAATAAAAAACCAGCTGGAACTGGCCCAGATGTCTAAACAAGCTGTAAGTTTTTTCAATATTTTAACTAACAGCTAACATTAGGACTACTGGCACTAAGCGACTTGCACTCTTTCTGCACTTTCTGTTTTCACTAACTTTCATCCTGTGGTCACACACCATTTATCCACCTCACATGTTTATTGGCCTTTACTTTTCAGTCAATTGCACCTCAAGACATACCATCACAACCTCTCATAGCTTGACAGTGACCTGTTATTTTTTCTTTCTGACAAATTGTCTATTTCTTCTGTCGAAGGCGCTAATCACCTTTCTTAATTAAATAAAAAGATACCTTTACTTTAATCCTGTGGGTCGTGACCCCTTTGAAAACACATATACTCTACAGTTATAAAGTATCAACGAAAATAATTTTGTGGTTGGGGGTCGCCATAACACGAGGAACACTATTAAAGTGTTGCAGATTTAGAAAGGTTGAGAACCACTGCTTTAATCGTATTAAATCCTAAAATTACCTTTAAAAGATTATGAGCTGAAGCTCATTTCTCTACCCATCAAGAGCAGATGGTACGGTACACCTTACTACTTTTAAAATGTACAAATGTATGCACACATTTAATCCTATCATTAAGTCTTTTGTAAATCTGTGTCGTGTCTTGCATCAGATTGTGGGCTGCAAATTTCACAGAGAACCTGCTGATTCCACACAGCGTTTCACAAACTGGGCAAATAATCTGAGTGAAGATCAGCTCTACACACAGGTAATCTAATATTTACCCAATCACGTCCCCACGTCATTCATCTGGCTTCGGGTTCCCTCTCTTCTTTTAGCTTCAAAAACCACTCTGGCTTCTTTTTCTAACGATTTAAATTTTTTAAGGTTTCTTTTTTTTTCAAAGTGAAATTCCTCTTTATCATTAAGGCGATTGAAAGCTGCCATGTTTACACACCATTTATTTTCTGGCTAATTTGCCACCATGTTGCCACAAAATTAATACCAAAAGCCACCAGTTCCTTATCACTGAGATAATTTTACTGTGGAAACCATCACTTCATTTTAAGATACAGATACCAGAAGTGTGATGTAAAGGTGGTAACAGTTTCAAATCAAGAAACGATGTCAACAAATTTCTTGGTTATGTTTTATATGTTTCAGGTGTTGCCATCATTTATGTTTTATTTGTTACCATCATTGATGGTTTATTTTTGTCAGTTGTTACATCATTGATGTTTTATGTGTTTCAGTTGTTACATCATTGATTTTTTATGTGTTTTATTTGTTACCATCATTTATGTTTTTATTGTGTCAGTTGTTACATCATTGATGTTTTATGTGTGTCAGTTGTTACATCATTGATGTTTTATGTGTGTCAGTTGTTACATCATTGATGTTTTATGTGTGTCAGTTGTTACATCATTGATGTTTTATTTGTTACCATCATTTATGTTTTTATTGTGTCAGTTGTTACCATCATTGATGTTTTATAAGTTTCAGATACTTACCTTACCATAATTCATGTAAGAATGACATCATTTGCAGGTGTACATGTCTCATGGACCAACTGTGATAATGCCCACATGGTTTTGTCATCGCAATGTCATTCAAGCAGTCGGAGGCTTTGATGAAAGTGGAAAGGTAGATTCTCCACAGATAAGTGATTGTTGGTTTTTCCAACTAACGATAGATTTGGTACTGAAAGTTTGTTTTGCATTAAGAATTGTAATTATACCATAGATTATTGATGAATTTCTATTATAAAATTTATTTGCACAGGGAACCCCTGAAGATTTGATCTTTTTCTTCAAACACTTGATGCTTGGAGGCAAAGTTTTGAGGTCAAACACGGATTTGTTAATGTACAGATATCACCCACAGGCTGAAACATTCTCCATAGCCGAGTAAGTTTATTATATTTATTTTAGGAACTAAACCTATCTTCATTTTATTGATTTGTTTTTTGGGTGTTTTCAATCCTCCCCCTTCCCCCCCCCCTCCCCATCCCTTAAATCTATACTGATATTAATGCTTGACCACAGAGCAACAATATGGAATTTAAGAGTCAAGTTTTTGGAGAGTCAAATACTGAACAGTTGGGAATCGTTCGCCATATGGAATGCAGGGAAGCAGGGTAGAAAACTTTTCCGAAGTCTTTCTTCTGTAAACAGAAAGAAGGTAGGTATTTTTAGCGGGGTTTTAATTTTGTCTCAGTATATTTCAGCCGGAAAAGCAATAATGATCATTTTTAGTTTACTTTGGTTATCCATTTCATCTTCTCATTCATCGGAGCTAATCAAATTTTCTTCCACTTATTATTTCCCTCTTAAATTGTGGCCCCTTGTTTATCTTGCACTCCTAAATTTGATTTGCCCTTTTCAGGTATCCATGTTTTGTGATGTTGACAGCAAGAAAATTGACAAAAAGTTTTACACCTATGAAGTTAGTAAGGTCAGTAAACAAATGTTCATAACATTGTAAAGAAAAGTCTCACTCCAGTCTAATATTGTATTTTAAAATATCATGAGCTCTATTGATTCTATTTGCTACTACGCTAGTGATAATGGTTACTCTTGTATCATCATTATAATATATTAATACACTCTCAAGTTTTCAAGAAAAAATTTCTTGTGAATGGTGTATAGAGTCTAACATTAGAATACAATAACACATTTTAATTCTGTTATTTTGGTTCTACCTGAGATTTTGGTTCTACCTGAGATTTTGGTTCTGTCTGAGATTTTGGTTCTACCTGAGATTTTGGTTCTATCTGAGATTTTGGTTCAACCTGAGATTTTGGTTCTATCTGAGATTTTGGTTCTACCTGAGATTTTGGTTCTATCTGACATGATTAATTCAATTTTTAGTCAAGTGTTCAGCTTAACATTTGGTTTCTGTCTGATTTTTTTTAGGGCCAGTGATACAGATGGTTTAGGGGGGGNTCCAGTCATCTTGTGTATTAAATTGGTGAAAACAAAAACAAATCCTATAATTAGTTGCACGCAAATAATATTTACATAAATTATGTGCTGTACATATTAAGCAATGAAAATTGTTTCCTTATAAGGAACTTCTTTTTCTTTTTTTTTCTCCTTCATCTTTTCACAAAAACCAGGAAGTTCCAAAGCCTAAAGTAGCCATTGTCCATTCACACAAGTGAGACCTCCAGTCATCTTGTGTATTAAATTGGTGAAAACAAAAACAAATCCTATAATTAGTTGCACGCAAATAATATTTACATAAATTATGTGCTGTACATATTAAGCAATGAAAATTGTTTCCTTATAAGGAACTTCTTTTTCTTTTTTTTTCTCCTTCATCTTTTCACAAAAACCAGGAAGTTCCAAAGCCTAAAGTAGCCATTGTCCATTTCACACAAGTGAGACCTCCAGTCATCTTGTGTATTAAATTGGTGAGTCATCCATAGGGATAGATGCCCAATATCCTACAGTGTAGTATCATTGATTATAATATCCCGAACAACCATTGCAGAAACTGTGCTGGTGCATCTCTGGAGAGATGGTTTGGTCATGTCTGTAGGTCGTATGGTTTGGTCATGTCTGTAGGTCATATGGTTTGGTCATGTCTGTAGGTCGAATGGATGCCAGCAACTTTTAGATTGGACTGTACAGAGAAACTAAACCATGGATTACTCAAAAAGACTTAGCGATGAATCAGAGCTGTTTGCATAGGCCCTGAAACTCCCGCTTCGGATATTTAAGGGCCCCAATTTGTGATGTGAAAAAAGCAAAAAATGGCAGCGGGCCTCCCAAAGTCAAGTTATGGGCTTTCTGAAGAACCTGGAGGCAGACTATAGACAAAAGCACTAATTAGCATCAATGATGTTCCATGACATTTGACATAATTTAATTGATTTTAAACTGTACCATGTAATTTTTATGGATTATAATAAGCCTATGACACCATTGGGGTAATTGTGGGTTATAATAAGCGTATAACACCATTGGGGTAATTGTGGGTTATGATAAGCATATAACACCATTGGGGTAATTGTGGGTTATGATAAGCATATAACACCATTGGGGTAATTGTGGGTTATGATAAGCCTATAACACCATTCGGGTAATTGTGGGTTATGATAAGCCTATAACACCATTCGGGTAATTGTGGGTTATGATAAGCCTATAACACCATTCGGGTAATTGTGGGTTATGATAAGCCTATAACACCATTCGGGTAATTGTGGGTTATGATAACAGACTTCTTTACTCTAACAATTTTGGCAGCGTACAATGTATGATTTTGAGATGTATACATTTTATATACTGTATGTTTATTTTTTACTCTTAAGATAATGTATTGAACGATTTTGTGATGATATTGTACGATTTTAAGAGTTTGAAGGTCAACAGGTCTGTAATAAGCCTATAACACCATTTGGGTAATTGTGAGTTATAATAAGCCTATAACACCATTGGGGTAATTGATGGTTATGATAAGCCTATAACACCATTGGGGTAATTGTGGGTTATAATAAGCCTACAACACCATTGGGGTAATTGTGGGATATGATAAGCCTATAACACCATTGGGGTAATTGTGGGTTATAATAAGCCTACAACACCATTGGGGTGGTAATTGTGGGTTATAATAAGCCAATAACACCATTGGGGTAATTGTGGGTTTCGATAAGTCCATAACACAATTGGGGTACTTGTGGGTTAATGTCACAGCTATTGTTTGTACACTTAGCGCACATTTGCTAACCTGTCCCAAATAAAGAGGCAGATTTAAATAAGACAAAATCTGATTTATTTCTTAACTGAAGCTAAAGTCATGTTCAGTCAGTCATGGTCATTATATATTATGGCTCATAGTATAGTTGATAAATCTCAAGGTTAATTTCAAACAAACTCACGGGGCGTTTTTTTTCTTCACAATTTTATTTCACAGAATTTATCTGGCAACTTTGATCAGAATCTGAGAAGTTTGCGCTTTAAAGAAGGACGTGATTTCATCCACTTCAACTAGTTCAATAAACTGTTACCTAATTTTCACACTAAACTAGTTCTGTGTGTTTGTGTTGTAAAATAATGAGCAACAGATTATGAAGGTTAATTTTGCTTGGATGAGCAGGAGTGGTGAGACCCTTTCGCTATTGTTGTTTATACATAATGTGGAAGGTGGGGGCGAGTCGTTTTTTTTTCTGTTCTTTATGCCATTTTACCCCGTCTGGGGCATAGGCCCTCTACAAGAATTTTCCATTCATCAGGGTCCTGTGCTTTCCTTTCCAGTTGCTTTCAGGTGTATCCCATACTTTGCGTGTCTGCACGCCTCCAGCTCACGTCTCCATGTATTCTTTGGCCTTCCTCTCTTACTTTTTCTCTGTGAATTCCATGTTAGGGATTTTCTGGTGATGCTATCTGGAGTTTTTTTTGGAGAGTGTGCCCTTATCCACCTCCATCTATTTCTTATGATGTCTTCATCAATTGGCTTTCTAGTGTATGGTTTGTTGGTGATGGTATTTGGCCATTTGATATTCAGGAAGTGTTTATGAAGGTGTGTACTTTTTGCGTAATGCTTGCTGTTTTTTCCCAAGTTTCTGCTCCATAGAGTAGGACTGTTTTTGACATTTGTGTTGAAGATTCTGACTTTGGTTTGCAGCTTCACCCCCTTCGACTCCCATATTTTCTTTAAGAGCACAAATGCTCGGCGGGCGGTGGGCTGCTGAAGTATTTATTTATTTTTTTTTTTAAAGGCTTAAGAAGCATTTTAAAATAGATAAAATATACAATTACAGCTTTCATACGCAGCAGATAGGATGAAAACCCTGGTCGTCTCAGGCCAAGACAGTAATGATTAATGATGTTACCCATCCAGCTAACTACGGGTCCACATTCAATGCTAATTAGTCGGAAAAAAAAACTGTATAGCCGACCACATAAACGTTATTTCATAGCTCTCTGGAGGTGATCCAAGATTTCACCCCCCCCCCCCCCCCCCCCCCCGGGGAAAAACAGTGCAGTTGGGCGAAAAATGCCACCCCTAAATTTACAGGGGGAGAGGAACCCCCGCCTTGGGCGGACCGCCTCCCCACCCCCCACCCCANCCCCCCCCCCCCCCCCGCACCACGGGGGGAAAAACAGTGCAGTTGGGCGAAAAATGCCACCCCTAAATTTACAGGGGGAGAGGAACCCCCGCCTTGGGCGGACCGCCTCCCCACCCCCCACCCCACCCGACCCCCCACCCCACCCGACCCCCCACCCCACCCCTTTTACTCGCTAGTGTAACAGAGCGTGCCACACCAATAAAAATCCATAATATGTCTTCTTAAATGTAACAACAACGAACTAGTTGATCTTTCCAGTCACGTGATGAATATGAGCCTCCATTTTAAAATGACTGCACTCGTTCAATTCTCCCATTCCAACCCTTTCAAGTGTCACCCTTATCATTGCCAGATCCTGCACGCCTCACTGTAAAATAATTGCGCTTCAAAAGGTGTGAAAGAGCGGCTTGTTCTGGCGTGCACCCATTGAACCAGTCCGAATCAATTATATAATTTACTTGGAGGGATTCACCCTCGCGCCCCACCCCATCTCCACCGTCGTTACCCCGTTCAAGAACACTGTCGCGGACAGGTCGGCCGGCATGTGATGCAGTCTACCGTAAAACACGTTTTCATTGCCGCCAGACTTCTTCCTATACAACCAAAGACAAACCAATATTATACATATATTTTTCGATATTTTTTTGTATTATATTTGAGCACGCCATTTTTTATGGCCTTGCTATATTAACTACACATAGCTAAGAATCGTGGGCAATGATGGGGCTGGGGGGAGGTTCGCCATCTTTATATTCAGGCCAGGATTGTTGGCGGGTTGTTAGTTTGTTATACAACAGAAGAGTAACCGAACGGCCATCTTGGCGGTACAGCGAAAAATGAAGATTTTTTTTTTATTCCTCGCCAAAGTTGCTGCGTAAGAAGGTTCGTCTCTCTGTACTACAAGTCCGTAAGAACTTTAGGTTGTCAGTACAAGTCCGTAAGAACCATAGGTTGTCCGTACAAGTCCGTAAGCACTTTAGGTTGTCCGTACAAGTCCGTAAGAACTTTAGGTTGTCCGTACAAGTCCGTAAGAACCATAGGTTGTCCGTACAAGTCCGTAAGAACTTTAGGTTGTCCGTACAAGTCCGTAAGAACTTTAGGTTGTCCGTACAAGTCCGTAAGAACCATAGGTTGTCCGTACAAGTCCGTAAGAACTTTAGGTTGTCCGTACAAGTCCGTAAGAACCATAGGTTGTCCGTACAAGTCCGTAAGAACTTTAGGTTGTCCGTACAAGTCCGTAAGAACTATAGGTTGTCCGTACAAGTCCGTAAGAACCATAGGTTGTCCGTGAATTAAGAAAAAATAAAGAAAATTGTCCTTAAGCCTTTTCGAGCGAGACAAAACGGTAAATCTCATAGTTTGTGATTTCTTCTTGCTTGCTTGCTTTCAACGTGCGTGATCCTAACCCGGAGAAATTCATCACTGATGAGGAGGCCAACCAATGAACTGACGATGTTTTCGTCATTCTACTTACAATTACAGTTATATATATATATATATATATATATATATATATATATATATCTGATGCATTTATGGTCATAGAAATGTTATGTGTTGCCGCTTAGTATTTATATTGCAAAATGTAGATGGATGGATGGTTAAGATAGATAGATAGTTAAGATAGATAGATAGATGGATGGATGGAGCTAGGGAGGGAGGGAGGGAAGGATGTAGGGAAGATGGATGGATGGATGGATGTAGGGTAGGTGGATGGATGGATGTAGGGTAGGGGGATGGATGGATATAATGGATGGCTTGATAGATAGAATGGATGGATGGATAGATAGAATGGATGGATGGATGGATAGAATGGATGGATGGATAGATAGAATGGATGGAAAGATATATGGTTGGCATGATGGATGGTAGATAGATAGATGTTAGATAGATTTTGTGACGATTTAAATAATTTTCCAATTTCGTGTTTGTTATTATTATTTTATTGAGTTGGCAACATTGTCATAAAGGCAATGTCATAGGTGTCATAGGTATTCCCCCCCCCCTTTTTCAAATGCCCAAGTAGAAAATTGTGTCACCTATACCGCAGTGTAGAATAAGTTAACGCTACTGTAGAGATTGTCGCATGCTGGATATTGATGTGTACTTTGCCCCATTAAATGCGAACCTGCTACTTCTAAAGACAGAAAATCAACGACCACCGCAACAGTTCTGGTGGGAGGAGCGGTGTAAGATAAGTCGGTCATCTTGTGACGCAGTCTCGGTCAACTGAGTGGCGATACAGGTAGGTGGATACAACAATGGATCGTTTGGTCATTTAAGTGATTGGGCACCAGGTAGCCTCACATCTTTACATAGGTACACAGAGGTAGTGTGATGCATGACTTCATAGAGGTAGTGTGATACATGACATAGGTACTTAAAGGTAGGAGGATACATTACATATGTAATTTCGCAAATACCTTCTGGGATGATTGTCTACCTTATTTTCCAGTTAATGCATAATGGCTGTGTTGCTCCGGGTTGAAATGACTAGAAAGACTTTGAGATTGTATGCTTGTAATTAGTTTTTGTAGTGTTGCGTTTGTTTTAAATGTGGTCAATTATAGATTTGTATTCTGTTGACTTTGTACCGCGCTTTGAGCCTTTGAGGATGAAGCGTGTTTTTGAAATTAACTTTATTATTATTATTATATGTACTTAGAGGTAGGATGATACAGTACATATGTAGTTAGAGTTAGGATTTTACATTACATAGGCACATAGAGGTAGTAGGATACATGACATAGGTACATAGAGGTAGTGTGATACATTACATAGGTACATAGAGGTAGTGGAATACATTACTGAATGTCGTTGGCACTTTGTTTAATAACGTTGACAGCGTGTTTCATAACGTTGACAGTTTGTTTCATAACGTTGACAGTGTGTTTCATAACTTTGACAGTGTGTTTCATAATGTTGACAGTTTGTTTCATAACGTTGACAGGTGTTTCATAACGTTGACAGTGTGTTTCGTAACGTTGACAGTGTGTTTCATAACGTTGACAGTGTGTTTCATGACGTTGACAGTGTGTTTCATAACGTTGGCAGTGTGTTTCGTAACGTTGACAGTGTGTTTCATAACTTTGACAGTGTGTTTCATAACGTTGACAGTGTCTTTCATAACTTTGACAGTGTGTTTCATAACGTTGACAGTGTCTTTCATAACGTTGACAGTGTGTTTCATAACGTTGACAGTGGTGTTTCATAACGTTGACAGCGTGTTTCATAACGTTGACAGTGTGTTTCATAACGTTGACAGTGTGTTTCGTAACGTTGACAGTGGCGTTTCATAACGTTGACAGTGGCGTTTCATAACGTTGACAGCGTGTTTCGTAACGTTGACAGCGTGTTTCATAACCTTGACAGCGTGTTTCATAACGTTGACAGTCTGTTTTATATTGTTGACGGTGTGTTTCTCAATGTTGACAGTGTGTTCCTCAATGTTGACAGAGTGTTTCACAAGATTAACATCATTGACGCAGTGGTTTTCTTTCATTTGTTCCATTCACGCTGGGCCGAGTTAGTATTTTAGATACATTTTTTTTTCACTGTGTTACAGACGTGTGTTGAAAAGCTCATTGTGTGTACAGTGGGGTAGACGTGTAATATACAGCTGCATATTTCTTTTGTGTTCACGCTCCAGAGGGCCGGCCGTTCTCTCCCTCGAAGCCTTTGAACATAGTGCCAAGTGGAAGGGAAGGCATCTGTTCACCGGAATAGACCGTACGTTTCTGTTCATGATGTTTGCGTGAATCCTGTAATCATCACTGTTCTTGTTTGTATCCTCATGGTGTTTGTGAGTATCCTGTAATCCTCACTGTCCTTGTTTGTATCCTCATGGTGTTTGTGTGTATCCTGTAACCTCACTGTGTTTGTATCCTCATGGCGTTTGTTTGTATCCTCATGGTGTTTGTGAGTATCCTCACTGTTCTTGTTTGTATCCT